GCAGATCCTCTTCAAATGTCCCACTCCTGCCATCCTTTTTGGAAATGCTACAAAACCCTCACGTTTTGCTCACTTTTGACAAGGTGCACAATCCCTTCCGCCGCCACGTGAAACGACATCTGAACTTCCAAAAGTGGTCCCTATGTGGTGTGTTTTGTACCTTTTGACTTCGAAATGTGCTTCGGGCCACAACGGCGTGCAGTTTTTCGACATTGCAACTTCTAAAAGTGCTCCGAAGCTGAGGTGTTTTGTACATTTTGACTTCGAAATGTGCTTCGCGCCACAACGGCGTGCACTTTTTCGCCTTCTAGTGCAGTTTCGGTTGCAGGCGGTTGGTGGGTTGCTGCAGTAGGTTTTGTTGTTGTCTTGCAGCGATATCGCTCATGTGGCTCTTGGGCGTGTCCTGGCGGGTTAGTTAGTGGCTGGACATGGTGTTGGGGTCGCATTTGGGGGTACCTTGCGGGTTGGATCTGAAGTCTCAAAGTCTTGTGATTGAAAGCTTCTCTGTCGGGAGTAGGGTGGTACTTAGTACCATGGGGGAAGGTTTTGGCGGCAGCAGGTTCAAAGTCCTTTATGGCCCTAGTTTCTAGGGTCACAAAGGAAACAACATGTGTGGAGGAATCTATTGCAGGTTCTGGCACGCGAGCTGAACCACTTGAAGCAGCAGCACAAAGCGTTGCGACAGGCATCTCAACTGTGTTGCTTTGGCTTGCAGATGCAATTTGTCACTGTTTTCTGATGTTGGCCCTCTTGAAACCATCGCGGAGAACAAGAAAGAACAGAAGTCGGCAGCAAAGCGCCGCCAGCGGTTGCTAAAAGCAGCCCAACAGCCGCCAAGCTAGGATGTGCGTTTTCCCACAGTGCGGAGCGTATAGTTGATGAACTTGGCCTACTATACCCTGAAAACCGTGGAAATTTGCAGAAAAACATGGCCAGCGTATAGCGTATAGTTGGTTCAATTCGATAAAAAAACCATACTAAAAAAATCTTTCTTAGAATGTGAGCTGACCGGCCAAAATGGATCTCACGCCACAGCGCGGAGCGTTTAGTAGGGTACTAAACCGTCTGGCCCGCAACACCAAAATTGTGTTCTCACCACAGCGCGGTGGGTTTAGTTGGGCTCTTTGTTTGTACGATTATTTTACAGATTCCATTTGTTTGCGTGACGGGCGCAGCACTTGAGAACCCCGTACGGCCATCTTAAAGGTTGAAGCGCGGCAGGCGCAGCGCTTGCCATCTTAAAAGTTGAAGCGCGGCAGGTGCAGCGCTTGCGAACTCCGTGCGGCCATCGTAAAGGTTGAAGCGCTGCAGGCGCAGCGCTTGAGAACCCAGTACGGCCATCTTTCCTTGCATGGCCCCCACAAGGGCCAACCACAAACTGAACCCCTGCGACCCCATTGTCAATGTTGAGGGTGTGTTGATGCTATTGCAACTAAGAAGTGAATTCCAATTTGAGGATGTGACCTGAGGCAAAATTTCTTTTGTATGCCTGTGTGTATGTATGTGTATGTGTATGTGTATGTGTATATGTATGTGTATGTGTATGTGTATGTATGTATGTATGTGTATGTATGTTTGTAGATGTAGATGTAGATGTAGGTGTAGGTGTAGATGTAGATGTAGATGCAGATGTATGTGTATGTATTTGTATGTATATGTATGTATTTATGAATGTATGTATGTAATTATGTATGTATGTAATTATGTATGTATGTATGTATGCATGTATGTATGTATGTGTGTATGTATGTATGTATGTATGTATGCATGTATGTATTTATTTATGTATGTGTGTATGTATGTATGTGTGTATGTATGTATGTATGTATGTCTGTATGTATGTATGTGTATGTATGTATGTCTGTCTGTATGTCTGTACGCATGTATGTATGTATGTACGTATGTTTGTATGTGTATGTGTATGTAACTATGTATGTATGCATGTATGTATGTATCTATGTGTATGTATGTATGTATGTATGTTTGTTTGTTTGTTTGTTTGTATGTATGTATGTGTGTGTATGTGTGTATGTGTGTGTATGTGTATATGTATATTTATATGTATATGTATATGTATATGTATATGTATATGTATGTATATGTATATTGATATAATATGTGTATATATATATATATAGATAGATACTTAATATGATGCGATGCGATTAGAATTACAGACAAGATCACACAAGTTCCCTCGGGGTGTGAGCAGAATGGGCCTCATCATTGCAGGTATCCCAGAATTCACTCCCGGGCCTCTGAGCCATACTTATATTACTTATGCAGTTTTGGACTGGGTTCTTGCATCCAAGACATTTGGGCTGGGGGTTGGGTATGGCCATGAGTGAAACTCCAGGTTGGCAACTCTAAAGTTAGATTCGAGAATTAGACTACTTACAGTATTTAAATATATTTAAAAATTGTCTTCAGTTGCACAGCAGGGATGGGAACCGAAAAAATAAACGACCAGTGAACACTGAGGCTCCCTGCCACATCCCGTGCCATGGCATTGCTGCTGTGCCTACCGTCCCTCTGAGCCATTGCCCGCATACGTTGCATTGAAGAAGTCATGCAAGTAAAACTCTTGGATTGGGAGCCAGCGCAAGATGTATATCTTCTATGGGCATTTTTTCACTTTTCTGACGAAGCAGTGAAAGGTGCAAGGAGGAGGCGCGGCAAACCACGGCTTGACCAACACATGCGCAGCAACCTTGAGGCTGCCATGCGTGCCTCGGGCAGGCCTCGGTAAGCCTTGGAGCGCCTCGAATGCCAACAAACCTGCTTCATCATGGCTCCCAAAACAGGATCCAAAAAACTAGTAGAAACATGGCGGCCAGAAAGGGACCTCGACTGTACAAGAAACAAAGTGGGACGCAGAGAGAGAAAAAGCATGTATTAACACTTACGCTCATGCTAGTGCGTCGCAAATCTGCTTGCAAAACCTCTGCGGGCAGCAGCAAAATTCTCCGATGGCTGACCCCACTTTTGGGTCCAAATCTGGATCCCAAAACGGGGCCCAAGCAAAGACCTAAAAGAAGGAATGAAAATGTGATCCAATTCTGGACCCCATTTTGGGGTCCATATTTGGACCCAAAAATGGGGTCAGCCATCGGAGAATTTCGCTGCTGCCCGCACATGTTGTGCAAGCAGATTTGCGACCCTGCGGCTTGAACATGAATGTCAACTCATACCTTTTTCTCTTCGTGCGTCCCAAGTCCGGTTGCTACTGTCAAGGTCCCTTTATCGCAGCCATGTTTTGACCACTTTTTTGGGCCCTGTTTTAGGGGCCATGATGAAGCAGGTTTGTTGGCATTCTCCATGTCACTGTTTTCTGATGTTGGTCCTCTTGAGGCCATCGCGGAGAACAAGACAGAACAGAAGTCGGCAGCAAAGCGCCGCCAGCGGTTGCTAAAAGCACGCCTAAAGCCGCCAAGCTACGATGCGCGTTTTCCCACAGCGCGGAGCGTATAGTTGATGAACTTGGCCTACTATACCCTGAAAACCGTGGAAATTTGCAGAAAAACATGGCCAGCGTATAGCGTATAGTATAGTTCCAAAAGTGGTCCGACCCTGGTGTGTTTTGTACGTTTTGACTTGGAAATGTGCTTCGCGCCACAACGGCGTGCACTTTTTCATCTCTCATCTGGCCAGATGGCTCCGCGCCCGCCGCTTTAGCGAGCCTACTTTTCGACCCTCCGGAGCCACATATCATTGGAAAAACACAATGTTTCGCGACCTTCCTACCTTTTCGCGCATCTGCGTCTTCTTTCTTTTGACTCTTTCCCTTCTCTGATCTTCTCTCTTCTACTCTTCTCTTCTCTCTGACCCTTTCCATCTCTGCTTTTCATCTGTCCATATTGTCGGAAGTTTGACTTCTAAACTTCCTTCGATTAGGTAGATAGACAGACAACTACAACTACAATTACAACTACAACTACAACAACTACTACAACTACAGCATTTCACTGCACTACACAAATTGCACTGCAGCACGCTACAACTACAATTATACATGCAGCTACAGCGACTACAGCACATTACACTACACTACACAACACTACACTACACTAATTACATTACACTACGCTACATCTACAGCTGCAAGTGCGGGTGCGATTACAAGTGCCATTACCTTGCACTATGCTACACTACGCTACTTACAATACACTGCAACTACAACTACACTCCTTTTCACTGCACTGCACTGCACTACACTAGACTACACTACACTATACCACACTACACTATACCACACTGCAGTACACAACACTACAGTACACTACAATACACTACAATATACTACACTAATTACACCACACCACAACTACAACCGCAACTTCAATTGCAACTACACTACACTACAGTAATTACATCATATTAGAACTACAACTTACAACTACAGTTCCACGACACTACAACTACAACTACACTACACTACATTACAACTACAACCGCACTACACCACACTACATCCAACAGTTGTGGTGAGGTGACCATTGCAACCATTGCAACCACTCCAAAAAACACAACTCCAACCATCACTCGGCCCATCAGTGGATTCGCTCTGCCATCCGTGATTCACAACAACCAACCTCTCCTATAGGATTCCTATGTTTGAAACTTCCACCACTGCCTTGTGCGGTACTACTGGTAGTCAAAATCTAACATACTGGTAACACCCGTAGCAACCCGTAGTCGCCCGTGAACCCCACATGCGCCGGTGGACATCGTAAGATATGGGAAGTTTTTTTGGAATTTGATTGTGAAAAATCAAAAGCAAACAAACTTAGTTTCATGATATTTATTGCGGACAAAGTCTTAATACCGAATTTGCATTTTTTTGTGGTACCGCAGCTGCTTTTAGATGCACCATTACAAATTTCACTACACACATATCAAAACTGAGGCGACCATCAGACCTTTGCAATGCAGATTTTGACTCCGGCGTGATATGTTCAACTTTGCATTAAATTTGGGTTGAAGTCTTCCTCACCGATCTTGCAAGTAATGCTTGGGCTCCGATGCCATGGAAAACCAAGGGTGCAATTGCGAGCTGCCGGGAGGGATCCAGGAGCCGCAAGAGCCGCTGGAGCTACAGCAAGACCTCGTGGATGCGCCGAGGTCCGTATGTAAGTGTGCTGAAGTCCGAACTTGGGCAAAAATAGTCCCCCAAAAATGGATTCAAAATCACCATCTGCAATTTTTTGCCACTGTTCTATGATGTTTTGAACGATAATCATTGATGGTGAGAAAAATTCCTGAACCTCATAATTTTCAATTTTTTTCGGTGTTCGCACTGCCCCCAGGCGTCGCAATGAACAGCGTCGCAGATTAAGGACGCGGCAAAGTTCAGCATTTTTTGAGGTCCAGTCAGCGTTTTCTGGTTTTGGCAGTTGTTTATTCATCTGCAGTGGCACGGGAATATCAATTTCCCTGACTTCGCAAGTGCCTACAGGGAAACACTTGTTTTTTGGAAAAATGCAGATATGATTACCATCAAATTTGAGGGACAAGTCCAAATGTTCCATTCGTAGTTGCATTAGATTTGTTTTTCCAGAGCAAAACTCTTTGCATTCAAAGGGTCTGAATCATTCATTTTAAGACCCCGTTGACAAGTTTCCGGGCCCTCACAAAATGTAATTATGGTCCTGGTTGTAGAAATGAAACATTTGTCAAATAATCTTGGATATGTATGTGCACCATATGTCAGCATATTCAACTTTTCCACCACGAGAATCAATATGTTATTTGCCTGGGAAATGAAATGCAGGCAACTCGATGTTTGCAGCTGTTGCAGCCTGTGCCGTCATGTTCGAGCAGGTTGGTCGGTGAGTTTTATATTCTGATACGACAACACATATACGGTACCAAAATTTTCCAAAAATGTTGAGTTCCGTTCTGAAGGGTTCCATTTGGACCATCAGCCATAAACAATTCATTTCGAGGGACAGCATGAAATCCCGGAGCAGGCAGTTGCCGTACTTTCCGAAGAGCTGACATTGTGTTTTGTGTGCGGTGATAATTTGGGTTGTCCTCACAATCCATCCCCTGCAATGGAAGGAAATCAGAAGACAGCGCAGTCATGTGGTCTCCTAAGTTGCCCCAATGTTGGTTGTTCAATGGTGCCGTTCAGATTAAACTGGTAACAACTACACACCCAAAACACATCAAAATACGTCGTTAAGGCTCTGGCACTAGAATGCCCTTGGTGATCAGCCTTGCTTTGCTGGAATACCAAGGTTGCGAATATACGATGTCATGGGTGCCGAGGCCCCGACTGATAGCGCCCTTCAAGTGCGAAGACAGAACTCTCGAGTTCAATTCTCAAACCTACTTCACTTTTTGAATCCATTACACGCTATTTTTGCAGTTTTGATCAAATGCACTTGAGGTTTGAAAGTGTTTGAAGACTAGCAATGGGCCATATCCTATGCCACACAGCTTGTGCTGTAGTGTCTTTTAGTTTCACCAGGTAGTCTCTGGGCTGAATTGCCTATGCCGGGTCATCGGCACTGGTGCCTTTCATGCCGGTGTGGAGGTGCACTGTGGATGTGCCTGATCTATCCTGATCTATGTTTTGTCAAAAAAATGATAAAGGTCGTACCCACCAACCTTACTTCCGGTTGATGAGCAATTGAATTGCTGGTGGGTTCTTAGATGTTCTTAGATGTTCTTGGTACTTGTAGTATAGATTATTGTAGCCTATCCGATCCAGTGGAACTCAGAGACCTTTTCCGATTAAACCGGTTTGCGCTTGCACTCGCTTTTTATATACAGCTTGCTTTCAAGCTCCTTCAGCTCCTTAGACTGAGTGGCTTCTACCTTTGTGGCAGGTCTATGGCTTGGAGTGGTCGTTTGGATTTTCAGAGGACGGAAGTGGAGTTTTCAGCTGTGGCCCTGGCCTGTGCGTACTCTCCATGGAGTTTACAGAAGAAAGGGATTTTGGTCATGGTCTATCAGTGTTCGTCGTATTTCGTCGTGTTCGTATCAATCTTTTCATTTTTTGATGATGCGCGCTGCAGGTACGCCTGGCGAATGTGGCGGACATGCATATCGAGAGGCTCTTTGAGCTTTGCTACCCTCGCAAATTCTGCGGGCCAGAGGTATCGTTGAATTGGGTACAGCATATTGGTCTTTGAAGCAGGCAGTTTCGATGGGGGAAACCTCTTTGGGAGAGGAGGACGGGGCCGCATTTGTGTTGTTGTGAGACAGCTTGGACATGTCAGCATGGATAATGCAACTAAAACGTGAAAATTCATTTTCCAAGCAGTGCAATGTTTTTTGATTTGGTCGTTTCCTTGGCAACGGACAGGATGTGATGATTCTTCTTAGCACGCTGGCACAAGACTGGCAAGGCCATTACTTACCTGATGCCTGTAACAAACATGCGGTATATTACCAGTATATGATAGAAACACCAACCGAATCCGACTGACCACATAAAGTACATGAAATATTGTAATTAAATTGTTATGGTAAATCGCAATCCATGTAGTGCCACCATCCCTGCCGTGTTTTGCTACCTATGTGGTTGCACTACCTGACTACCCGACCGTTTCAGTCCTGAATGTGAGGCAGTGACTACGATATTTTGCGTCGAAATTGCTGCCACTTTAGCGATGCATTGTGCAGGCCAGGCTGCTCATTGGAGTGGTTCGCAGTGACCTGTAGCTTGACCTGTAGCTCGCAGATTAGCTGCTGTCATGGTGTCATTGTGCGCTGAATTCCAGATGGTCAAGATTTTGATCAGTCTCTGCTTGATGCGACCTGGACTGGAGCATTTTTTATACTGCAAAACTGCCTCGAAGTGTATTCTTTGTCGAGTGTGTAGAGTTCAAGACAGTCGAACTGGCAGTCTGTGAACCTGTTGCCTGCATATATTACATAAGGGTGTGGCAGGAAATGGCCAAATCATGCCAAATCATTCACTCGAAGAGCAAAACAGCGCTGTTCGTGGTGCTACAGGCAGTTGCAAGTGGGTCACATTCCGGGCTGGGTGACCAACCTGTTTGCAACTCAGTCGTGGAGGGTTTTCAGATTTCCAGACTGTCCCAGACACACAATTTTTTGTTTGTGGAAAATCAATGGCCGATGTTTGTCTCCTGTTTTCCTTTGTCACATGTGCTTCCTGAAGAGTGCAGTGTTTCAATCTCACTAATCCAACATTAAAAACTTCAGCTATGAAGTGCAACAGCTTCTGTGAATCCCCTGGAAAGAGTCAAAACTCAGAATTTGGGATGCACTTCTTTGAAACGTCATGCAGATTGATGACTGATGTGTCGCTTGTTTCACTGTCTCGTCACCGAGGGCTGGTGCTGGAGCGAAAGTCGCCACTGGGCTGCACTGGTGCTGGATCAGACTCTGCAGGACGTGCCAAGAGGGGTCCAACCAGGGAACTTTGTTTTTAAAAGGCTTATCAAAGATTACATTAATTACATAGTTTTTCAAGTTTTCTAAATGAAAGCATTTTGACTCTCGACAAAGATCAGATAGATAGTCGCTGGATTCGTCTACATTGGGACTTTTGGAGCCTGAGGAAGCTGGGCCAGGGTCTCAACTTTGTCCGCCTTCAAGTGGCGAGACAGCTGGCTGCCAACAGTTCTGAAAGTGTCTTTGGATGTTGACTTACAACGCACTGAATGCACAAGCCTTAGAGATCCTTACGAGTGCAGTTGACTTGCTCAGGCTTCGGAATGCTGTCTCCCATGTTCATGCAGCAGCAGTGATAGCTGCAGCAAAGGCAGGACGTCAGATCAGTGTGGTCGATGCACAACGACGCAATGCTGGCAGTGTCCGGCTGTGCCCGGCTGTGCAGGCCATGGAGATCGAAGAGGAGTTGAACATCAAACAAACTGTGTCCGAAGGTGTTTGGAGCTCAACATGTCCGAGCTGCCCAATCTGCCTAGTACATACATTGACATACTGACAGTTACTGACATGCCTATTTTCTTTGGAAACTGTAGAAGGCTCCCAGATTGTGGGAGTTAAAGCGATGCACCTTTTTCCACCCCAAAGGACAAGTAAACTTTGAAACAGCCGCATTCTCAGGGTTTGCACCTTTTTATGACTCTCCGCTATTTTGAGGCCCATCATTTGCTAGAGCGGAGTTTTGAGCTGGACCAAAGGTGCTCCTCGCTTGTTTGATTTAGGCAGATGATTGGTTGATGTGGGTCTTTTGATGTATATTACGAAAGCCAGCTGGGAAGCTGGCTAGTTCGTTGTTATTCGCGAACGAAGTGAGAATAGGGGGTGTGGGGGCTAAGTTGCCCGGAGGCGCCGAAAAGGTCGTAAATAGGTGGTGTTTTAGGCGTCAGAAAGGTATGGTTTTGCAGGGTAATGTACCGTGCGGCAAAAAAGGGACGGTGGGTATCGATTCTCCCTAGGTCCGGTTTTCTTGGGTCAGTCAGGTGGACAGATAGATGGGCTACCTAGTTAGAGAAGTGGATGGGAAGAAAGACATTTCTGGAGAGACTGGAGAGAGAGAGGGAAGTTTGCCTGAAATCTGAAAAACGGGAGAAAGAGAGAGAGAGAGAGAGAGATTTTTCGCAAAACTATGCATTTTTTTTGACATTTTGGACCCTCTATTGGACCACACACGATGCGACCACTGCAACCTCATGGAGATGAGAGAAACCCAACAAAAATACTTCACACCATTTTATGCTGACTTCCCCTAACTGTTGGGCTCCGATGTGGGGCCATTATGGGCGCAGGGATTGGATAAGCGCGTGTGGACATGGTTGTCTGAGACAGATGTTTGATGGCCCGTTCCCTGGAGGGAATGTCGGCCTGTGCCATGGAGGGAATGTCGCCCGCATTGATAGAGGTTGGGCGGGGAGGGGGTTGATAGGTATTTGTTGAACACCGAGGCAGTGGGAAAGAGGAATGGGCTGCGAAGAAGGAAAGCAAGGACACGAGGAGGCGTAAGGGAAGTCAAGCGCAAGGCAACGGGAAGGAGAGTGAGTGAGGAGGGCAGAGGCATTGCTTGGAAAAGCACTGAGCTGAACCTAGATGGGGTATGTGGGCAGAGGCATTGCTTGGAAAGGTTGGAACTCAATGGCTGGTTTGCGTACTAGATGGCTGAGCGCAATACATAGCTCAGGCTCCACAACTGTCTAAAGCACAAGGGAAAGGAGGTGAACAGGATGAGGGCAAAGGCATTGCTTGGAAAGGTGGGAACTCAATGGCTACTTTTCTTTATCTATCTCCTTACGAGACGGTGATTCTATTACTCTTCTGTCGCAACGCTGGCATGAGGGCGTGTGAACATGGTTGTCTGAAACAGATTTCTCTTGGTCCGTTCCCTGGATGGAATTTCGCCCGTAAGGGTCCTTGAATGGAGGTGCAGTAGGTATGGAGAAGGAGCTTCTGTCAGTATAGGCTCGATATGGTCCGGTGGGCTTGCTGAATCTGAATGACCGAGCTGGTCTGGTGACTTGGCATTGAAGCTGCTCGAACATTTGTGTCGGATTTGGATGAAGCGGAGTAGGAAATATCGCTTGAATCTCAACGGCTGATCTGCTCCGGTGGGCTTCGCATTGAAGATCCCTGAACATTCGTGGTCGATTTGGGTGAGGCTTCTGATGGGGCAAACCGTGGGGTTGGGCAAGAAGGGTTTTGGTATGAGATGAACCATGCTGAAGCTCAACGGCCGATATGGTCCGGTGGGCTTCGCATTGAAGATGCTCGAAAACTTTTGCCCGATTTGTGTGAAGCTTCTGCTGGATGAAGCAGCTGGGCAAGAAGGGTTTTGGTATGAGATGAACAGGTCTGGTGGGCTTCGCATTTAAGATGCTTGAAAATTATGTTGGGTTTGGGTGAAGCTTCTGCTGGATGAAGCGGCGTGGGAGATGACTTGAGGGGAAGAACCATGCTGAACCTCAACGGCTGATCTGCCCCGGTGGGTTTCGCATTGACGATGCTTGAACATTTTTTGCAGACTTGGGTGAAGCTTCTGATGGATGAAGCGGCGTGGAGATATGGCCTGAAGGGAAGGGCCACGCCCAACCTCAGAGCTGATCTGGTCTGGTGGGCGTCGCATGGAAGGCGTAAAGGGAAGAGCCATCCCCAACCCCAACGGCTGATCTAGTCCGGTGGGCTTTGCATTGACGATGCTACAACATTTCTGCCGGATTTGGGAAGCTGGTGGGCTTCGCAGTGAAGGCTTGAGGAGAAGGAGCCATGCTGAACCTCAACGGCTGATCTGCTCTGGCGGCCTTCGCGTTGACGATGCTACAGCATTTCTGTCGGATTTGGGTGAAGTTGGTGGGCTTCCCAGTGAAGGCTTGAAGGGAAGGAGCCATGCTGAGCGTCAAGTGCTGATGTGCTGCGCTGGGCTTCGCATTGAAGATGCTTGAACATTTTTGTCGTCTTGGGATGGAGCGTTGACAGGAAGACCCATTTATCATTTTTGTTGGGTTTTTGGTGTTTGGAATTTGTGATGGCGACGCCACAGCGACATGCTCAGGTTTAGGGTGTAGCGATGCAGCTGAGAGGGGGCGAGAGACCAACCGGAGTTGCGTGCTGCATGCGAGGTATACGTTGACCGACACATGTGGTGAAAAGTCTGTGGGTGAAAAGTATATGGGATGAAAAATCTGTGGGGTAAAAATTTGTGGGTGAAAAGTATCTGGGCGAAAAGTCAGTGGGTGAAAAATATGGTGAAAAAAATATATATATATACCGGTGAGAAACCAGTGGGTAAAAACTTTGCGGTGAAAAAATGATGAAAAAATGTGGGTGAAAAGTACATCGATGAAAAACCCGAGGTCGAAGAGTATGTGGGTTAAAAAATTGTGGGTGAAAAATATACCGATGAAAAACTGGAGGGTGAAGAGTATGTCGGTTAAAAGTCTGTGGGTGAAAAACCTGTGGGTGAAAAACAAATGGGTGAAAAGTCTGTGGTGAAAAATATGGTGAAAAGACTGTGGGTGAAAAGCCAGTGGGTGAAAAGCCGGTGGTGAAGAGTATGTGGATGAAGTCTGTGGGTGAAAATTGTGTGGTGATAAATATGGTGAAAAGTATGTGGGTGAAAACTCTGTGGGTGAAAAGTATGTGGGTGAAAAGTATGTGGGTGAAGAGTCTGTGGGTGAAAAGTATGTGGGTGAAAAATATATGGATGAAAAATATGTGGGTGAAATGTTTGTAGTTGAAAGGTCTCTGGGTGAAAAGTCTGTGGGTGACAAGTCTGTGGGTGAAAAGTAAATGGGCGTAGATGGGATGCTGGCTTTCATTCCCCCCTTCTCAGGTCATATCATTAGGGGATATTAAGGGCACTTTGTGATGATCAGAAGGGTCACCAAAGTCAGACGGAAAGCGAGGGGCAAGTTGGCAACTGAAGGTATGCCATCAGCGAATCCGCTTCTGAGTTGGCTACAAATGCAGGCGGAGCTCAGGGAGAGAAGGTTTCGTGTATGGATTGACAAGACAGGTATCAACAGGTATTAACAGGTATCAACATCAACAGTCATCAACATGTCCAAGTTTTGGGTAGATTATATCATTTCATTTCCACGTCTCAGGCCGTGCAGCTGCGGATGCAGTGGAGCAAGAGCTGAGCTTAAGACAAATACCTCCAAGGGTACCATTTTCAGGTTGAGATGAGCATCATGGTTAACAGCCAAGAAATTCAGCCATGATATCGTATTTGGCATGATTTGGCAATTGGATTGTTTGAGTGGATTGGATCTTCGAAAACATTTTGGTTGAACGACAGAGCTGGACAGATGTACAGTGTGAGGTCAATGATGCAACTTCTACAGTCGTTAACAAGGTCCCTTGCGTCAGGGTTTTGCAGGGGCGTTGAAGTAGAACACTAGTAGTAGCAAAGATTCGAAATCTTGAAATCTTCGCATTGCTTGTACAGGTACTGCTGTGCAATGCTCCATTAAAAAATGCAATCCGCCAGAAATAGAATGTTTACTTCTCCCATGTATATTAGTTTCACGAGGATCAGGAGCTTTTTAACCTACTACTTGATGTCAGCCTAAGCGACAACAAGTGACACCTGACGCATTGAGAGGTGACTGAGGCGGCGTTGCAACGCTCTGCTTCACTGGTCAGGGGCCCAAGGCAGGCCGGTAGCGAAATGAACAATAATGACAACCAATTTGCCAACAGGTTTTGCTGGTTTGTGTCTCCGTGGTGGTTGTGCTGGAGTCTCCTTTGTTGCTGGTGCATCCCCTGTTTATGGTGGGTTTTTATGATATCATCACAGCAAACAATTTATCAATGTTTTCTCTCTTCTCCTGGAACAAACGCACCACAGTGGTATTCTCTGTGCTCTGACATGGCCCTGAATGGGTGAAACAGTGACCTTTTTTCCAAGGCGTACGACGTGGCGGCTCAGGCGAGGCGTCGTTGACTGTCGCCAGCTTGAGAGTGAGCAAAGGCATTTTCAAAGGAATGAAGGGCAATGATGGAGAACGTTCCACAGGGAAATGCTGGGCATGAGTCAATATGAGACTCACATAACTACGCTGTTGAAATCAGGCATGCGAAGGATGGGGTGCAGATTCTGTGTGTCTCTGGGCAGGTAACCCCACCAATCCTGGGATACATGTGCCACTTGTCTGCAGACATTGCCTCGTCTTGCAGGCAAATGTTCAGATGCCAAGTCGCTGTTGAGATTTCATTGCGTAATCTTGGCTCTACCACCGAGGTCTAGGGGCTCGCAAGCAAGGTGCACGAAAAGCCGCATTGTTTGCCCAGCGATCCCTAGCATCGTATTTTTTGATTATTTTCCTTCCTTGATGCAAGTAGCTACTGGGTGATGGTTAGGTCCAAAAACTTCATAGAAGGGTCAGATTGACGTGAGCTGCCACTCCCTTTGATTGATCTTATTGTGGTACATTGTGGTATTGCTTTTTTCAGCTTGACCGCCGTTTTGCTTCTTTGTTGACCTCAAGACGGCCAGATCGTCAACGACGCATTCGTTCCTGAGATGAATCAAAGGAGGGGAAAGCAAAAGCTACAGCAGCTACAGATCTAGACCACAACTTTGCATTCCCCTTCGACCTTGATGCCGTTAATGACTTTGTGGCGACAAGAGGAGCAACAGCTCTTGCCTGGCCGCATATTTCGACGTTGACTTTGGCGTCGACAATTTCTTTAGCTAAAGGATGCAATCAGGTGGGAGTGGACGAAGTCCACGATCCCTCCCTGCATGGCTTCAGTTTGGATAAAAACTCTGTAAAGGCTCTGTGAAGCACTCAGTTTCTTGCTGGTTCGGAAAAGTGGGTTGAGTTTACCTTCAGTTTTGTTGGAGGAAGCATGTTGCGTGCTTTTTGCCAGCTTGCCAGCTTGCTGGGCAAGGATCAATCGAATGTGTATTGAGCTTTTTTAAGGCTTCTGGGATTGACGCCTTAGTTTACTTCTTCAGAGCCAGGCAACTGTGCCAAACCATGCCATGGAAGGACACCCCACATTGATGTATTGGTGGCAGAGTTTTAAGGATTGAGCTATACTGGATTATACTGAAATGACGTTTTTTTAGACTCCATGTCTCTGGTAGCTTCTTGAATCCAAACCTTGAGGCCTCCATAGGATGCAAAACATGAAGTGATTGGTGGCTTTGGGTTCACGCAGCACTTTGACAACCTTTACAGCCTGTAGAGGTCATTTACAAAGCAACAGCCACCACTACCTGACAAGTCGCGGCTACACTTTTCTCACAATAATCCCTTTGCAAATCATTGGGTGAGCAGCTGAGAGATGAGAACAGATCAGCAAATTTCGGCAGATGGTCTCTAGTGGTGCCTTTGAAGTCATGATTGAGCCATGGAAGGGCAAGATTGCTCTGACATGATCCACACCTTTTGCTCGGAAGCAGGATGACCGAAGTTGCCAAAGCAAAGCAACGCTTTTCCTCTCCTGCAGATTTTGCTACATGGTGTGAACAAGCTTTAGTCCTTGAGAAGGAAGCTGAAGATGAGGAGACAACTGAACTTCTAAAGTCATGTTCCCAGGCAGAGCTGCAATCCCGAGGAATTGCCATTTTGAAACTTCGGGTTGCGGAGCAATCTACGGCCTTGTACGGCAGGGCATGCGTCTCTTTGGAAAGAGCCAATGGGGATTTGCCTGCTCACAAGATCAGTCATGGTGACATTGTGGGTCTATTCGATCAAACAGCCCGGCCACTGGTGAAAACCATCCCTTTGGGGACTGCAGTGGTCACCCGAATCAGAACAGCTGCCATCCAATTGGCATTTGATGGAGATGTGCCCATTGAAATTTTGGATGGGCGACTGCTGAACTTGGCCCTGGTTTCATCAGATGTCACCTTGAAACGCTACCGAGAGGCCTTGGACCTGTTGAAGGGTGGGGCACAATCAAGTCCGGCCTGCCAGTTGGTCGATGTCTGCTTCGGCGATGCAAAGCCACGGTTTTACGAACAGAAGAGCGAGGGCTGTGCTCGTCCAGATGCTGTGGACTGCACTTTCTTGGCTGATTCCAGCAGCCGGTTGAATGAACCACAGCAAGCTGCAGTGGTGAAGGCCATGTGTGCAGCAGATGTTTCGATCATCCATGGACCACCAGGGACTGGCAAGACCACCACCTTGGTGTCATACATTTTGGAAGCGGTGTATCGCAAGCAGCGGCTCTTGGTCACGGCATCTTCCAATGTGGCAGTGGACAATCTCTTGGAGAGGCTGGCTGATGCGGGATGTCAATCCCTAGTACGCCTAGGGCATCCTGCTAGGGTGCAGGAGAATATCCACAGGTTCACCATGGACAATGTGGTCTATGGATCTGACCAGGCTGAACTTTGCAGGGACATCAAGAAGGAGATTGATGACATTTTGAAGAAAAGCAGCTCGAAATCGAAGAAAAACGACAAATCTGGTGAGGACAAACCTCGCTGGGGCGCTCTCAAGGAGTTGAGGACGGAGTTGAGACAGCGCGAGAGACGGGCAGTGGCTGAGGTTCTGAAGCACACACAGGTGGGAGGTGAAACAAGTTGAAACAATCGTTGTTTAGTAGTACGAAAGATATGAAAAGATATGAGAGGCCATAAAGTGCCTAATTTTCTTGACGACTTCTGATGGTTTTGGTTGTTCTGCTCTTTTTTGATGGATTTTGTTTAGCTCATTTCAGCGCCCTTCATCGATCGCTAGTGGCAGGTGGTCTTCGCCACCTGCACTGGAGCTGCTGTGCTTCACCGTGAGATGCGCCGCAGCGGGGCCGCGGATCCCAAGAGCCTGCAGTTCGATGTGGTGGTCATCGATGAAGCCGCTCAGGCGGATAGGAAAAGCTGGGACTTGTACGTGTGACACATCGGATCCAATGGATGGTTTCCGGAAATGGAAGACCCTCCCCAAATCCATTGTTTTCCAAGTTGTGTCAGCATGCGGAATCGATTTTTGTTGAGATATTCCCCAGTCTTGGACACACGCACACACACACACACACCTGTTGGTGTTGCAGGTTGGCCAAGTTACTGGCTGATTGGTTGACCCATCAGCCCATCCTCACAGCACTGCCAGAGGCATTGGAGGTGGGCTGTTGGATTCCCTTGTTGCTGGGGAAGAAAGCGGTCCTGGCGGGTGATCATCAGCAACTTTCTGCCTGTGTAAAGTCCAGCTCTGCACAGCAACAAGGCTTGGATCAGACACTTGGCCTGTTGGGGTGGAATAAAGTCCGATTCCGTAACTTCTCCGGATTGCGCAACTAAGATTGCGCAACTCTTTGGTCGGATTGCGTGCTTGTGTTTTCGAGCTTGGTTGCTGGCCCAGCAGCAGGGTGCCGCTGCAAGGTGCTGCTGTCAGAGTGCTGTTTGCGCTTTGGAGCTTGGTTGCTGGTTGCCGCTGCAGGGTGCCGCTGCAGGTGCTGTTGTCAGAGTGCTGCTGGGAGAGTGCAAGTGTGCGCTTTGGACTTGCTTCAGGGTACCTAGCATTGCGAAACTTGGCTTGCGCAACTCCCAGGATTGCGCAACTCCGCTTGCGCAACTTCCAGGATTGCGCAGCTCTGCTTGCGCAACTCGTAGGATTGCGTGACTCTGCTTGTGCAATTGCTTTTGACAGATTGCGCAGCTCCCAGGATTGTGCAACTCTGCTTGTGCAACTACGCTGGCCGGATTGCGCAACTCTGCAACTACACTTCCTCCAAGCAATTCCAGCGCCCATAGCACTTGAAAATGACACATGCCCTCCACAAGAGCAAGACGTTATACAAATTCCCACCCCATGGAACTTCAAACTGACTTGGAGTGTCCACAAGGTCAAGATGATATCAAAATTCTCACCCCCATGGAACCTCAAACTGGCCTGGAGTCTCCACAAGGTTAAGATGATGTCAAAATTCCCACCCTCATGAAACTTCAGACTGACTTGAAGTCTCCACAAGGTTAAGATGATGTCAAAATTCCCACCTCCATGGAACTTCAGACTGACTTGGAGTCTCCACAAGGTTGAGATGATATCAAAATTCCCACCCCCATGGAACTTCAAACTGACTTGGAGTCTCCACAAGGTTAAGATGATATCAAAATTCCAACCCCCATGGAACTTCAAACTGACTTGGAGTCTCCACAAGGTTAAGATATCAAAATTCCCACCCCCATGGAACTTCAAACTGACTTGGAGCCTCCACAAGGTTAAGATGATATCAAAATTCCCACCCCATGGAACTTCAAACTGACTTGGAGTCTCCACAAGGTTAAGATGATATCAAAATTCTTACCCCCATGGAACCTCAAACTGGCTTGGAGTCTCCACAAGGTTAGGATGATGTCAAGATTCCCACCCTCATGGAACTTCAAACTGACTTGAAGTGTCCACAAGGTTAAGATGATATCAAAATTCCCACCCCCCATGGAACTTCACATTGGCTTGGAGCCTCCACAAGGTTAAGATGATATCAAAATTTTCACCCCCATGGAACTTCAAACTGACTTGGAGTCTCCACAAGGTTAAGATGATATCAAAATTCCCACCCCCATGGAACTTCAAACTGACTTGGAGTCTCCACAAGGTTAAGATGATATCAAAATTCTCACCCCCATGGAACCTCAAACTGGCCTGGAGTCTCCACAAGGTTAAGATGATGTCAAAATTCCCACCCCCATGGAACTTCAAACTGACTCGGAGTGTCCACAAGGTTAACATGATATCAAAATTCCCACCCCCATTGAACGTCAAACTGACTTGGAGCCTCCACAAGGTTAAGACGACTATGAAGTCTTTGGCGCAACGCGTCTTGAAGTTGTCGGAATGAGTACGGACGCAGCCGAGAGAAAAAAGGTGCTAGACTGCTGCTGCAACAGGGGAGTGAGCTTCAAGATTTGTAATGATTTTCAAACGTCAGATTGTGAAACTTGGACGTCGCATTCTGAGACTTGAGGCTGTGATTATGAAACTTGGAGTTTTGCAGTTTCCTGATTTGTTTTCAGAGTTTCGCAGTGCCGCGTGAAACAATCTCCACCTAAAGTTTCACCATCTCTCTGCAGACTGTCACAATACTAGTTTCACTCACAATCTCTCCCCAGAGTTTCACAATTTGCCTTCAGAGTTTCACAATCCCAGTTTCACAATCTGTCCCCCAAGTTTCACAATCCGTCTTCAGAGTTTCACAACACCAGTTTCACAATCTGACCCCAGAGTTTCACAATCCGCTTTCAGAGTTCCACAATCCTACTTTATAGTTTCACGCTCCGAATTTCAAGTTTCACAGTACAAGTTTCACAATCCGCTCGGCAAGTTTCACAATCCGACTGGGAAGTTTCATCCAAGTTGCACAATCCGTCTGGGAAGTTTCACAATCCGACCCGGGAAGTTTCACAATCCGACGTTGACCTGTTGGGTGTGCTGGGAAAGGAGGTTTGGGCCTTGGGGTTCTTACTTCAAGTATAGGCAGAGTTGGCTTCCCAAACCTCCTTTGGTTCCGTCTGAAAAGGACCCTTTTTGGGCGCCTCATCGACCGCTTCGGGGATGACGTGGCGGCCTTGCTGTCCATCCAATATCGCTCCAATGAGATCATCATGGGATGGTCCTCCAGGTCCTTCTACGACTCCAAGCTGTTGGCAGCCAGCTCCGTGGCGCATCAAACCCTGAAGTTGCAGGAAGCACCAGCAGCCAACATCACCAGTGAAGTGGTGGAGGTTTTGATGGCGCCCATGCTGTTTGTAGCTTGTGTGTCAACTTGATGAAGCGTGGGGTGGGGAGATGTCGGCCAGTCAGGTGGGCCGAAAGAAAACTAGTCGGAAAATCCCTTGTGAGTATTTCTCCATACTTCTTAACTGGATTGACTTTGACTTGATCTAATTCTGCTTGAAGTCGCCTGTTTGCAAGGTAGATACTGGGAGTTTGGCCATGTACCGTGAAGATGGTGGAGAACCTGGGGCGGGAGGCTTGCCAACAGATATCCATCAATCAAGATGCAACCAGGGAGAATCCCGATTCCTGCTCCACTATGCCAAGACCTTGGTGAAGGCTGGTTTGAGTCCATCCGCCATCACAGTGATCACACCATACAATCGGCAAGTGGAGCAGCTTCGCAGTGACTTTGGGGAAGATGCAGAAGCGGAGAAAATGGGATTGGCTCCCCGGATAAGCACTGTGGATTCGTTTCAGGGACAAGAAGCCGACGCAGTGTTGATTTCCCTGGTGCGCTCCAATGAGCACGGGGTCGTTGGCTTTCTCTCGGATTTCCGACGTCTCAATGTGGCAGTGACGCGCGCAAGGAAGCATGTGATGATTGTGGGAGATGCCAGCACGATCTCGAAGGATGATGTTCTGAGCTCCTTGTATGAATATGCATGTGACCATGGACGAGTTGCATTTGTGCAACAACTTCTAGATGAAGATGGAGGGATCCCTGCAGATCCGGCCACGGCACAAGCAATTCAAGAGGAGCGCCAGAGAGCTCTTGCCAAAACAGTTGCTCCTCGGCTCTAGACATATATGTGTTGAGATGTAGGCTTTGATATCTGAACTTCGAAGCCATAAGGGCACGCAGGATCATACGATACTTTTGTTCCCTTGTGCTCAAATGATTGGATGGCCGCGAACATTGCAGTTTTGGTCTAATGACTTTTGGCACCTTGTGTGTAAGAATTGTTTCAATTAAACTTTCATCCACCAAGCAACCAATATCTTCTGTTGCTGGCAGCCTTCCAGGGTGCCATGAAAGAGAAGCGAGACGACAAGGCCGAGAGGGAGGAGCAGCTGCGTCGACGTTTCGAGCACCAACTTCGACCTTTGACGGCTTCGAACTCCGGCAGTGCTGGCAGTGGAAAGTCTCACATTGAACTGCCGAAGACTTTGAATCCCTACGAAAGAGCTATTGCACACGAGGTAGCTAAAACTCTGGGTTTGAAGCACGAATCTAGAGGTGCCATGGCCGCAGTCCGTGCAGCAATCTAATTTTCGGTGTTTCAGTTTTGAGGTTGCAGAGCTGAAGATGAGCTCAAGCGCGTTTCAGAAAAGTGATGTGACGTATCATTAATTTTCGATAATTTTCGTAGAGTATTAGATATCGTTTTGGTATATTTTAGTTTTAGATTCACTTGGATTGGTTTTAGTTTTAGCCACTTCTTTTGATTTGAGGTGAGGGGAGTGATCGGCGCCTGGTGGTCTGGAGGGATGGTGAAATACCACCTGAAACACCCAGCAGGGAGCAGCGACCTTCAGCCCAAGCTGCAGTCGAGCGCAAAGACGAGGAGGAGACCGTCATGGATGCGTTTGAAAGAAGAGCAAAGACTCTGATGTCATCCTTAGGCCGAACAGCTCAAGACAGTGGTCATGGTGTGTAGTGGCTGGTACCTTTGTCAATTGTGAAACGTTGTATGAGAATTGCACCTATCATACATTATCAGATAGTATCAGATATATAATATCTGATAATCTCAGATAATTTTCACCTGTTTCCAACAAGAAATTGACAATGAAACTAGAGATTAGATGAAGCTAACGAAACAATATTGACACAGCTGAAGTGCTGTGCTCTGCACAGGTCCAGGCAAGGCAGCTGAATGGAAGAATCCGACCGAGGAGCCGATGCTTTTAGGTAGGTCGCCCAGGTCGCCTGTCAAATGGATGCTTTTTTTTTTTTTCGACAAATGGCTCTGCCAGGCTGTCGAAGAAGATGTTCCTGTATATTATATTTTTGTCGTTCTTTCCAGGAGGAAATTGCGGTGTTGCAACGGTTAGCCAGTTGCCTGACTGCAAGAAGCTGTTCTGTTTACAGAATTTAAGCACGTTAGCGCAGAAACTGGCCCACCACGATTTGAATAGCTTCATTTCAATGCGATGCTCCTTTGCTCAAGGCAGCCAAGTATATTCCAATACATTTCAATACTGTATATGAACTCCTAAGCTCGATGGCGTTCTTCCTGACACTTGTTGCTCAAGTCAATGTCAGCTTGGGTTGAGAACCTGTGGAGTTACTTGTCAGTTGCCAACGAGGTTACCCGCCTTGCCAGTTGCCCTTTTCATTGTTCGCCTTCCTGCGCACCCTGGTTTCTTCTGGGCCTATCCGTTGGATTTGGTGCTTGTGTTTTTGGGTTTGGAATTGCTGTTTTTCTGTGGACTTTCCACTTTGGATTTTCCTTTCCCATCTTCGCACCTGGCCAGAGGGTGGCGTCACGTTCCAGGCTTGGACGCTACCTTGAATGAGTAGCCCGTTGTCAGTCAGTGAGATCCGTGACCTGATTGACAAATTGAAACTTTTGGAAAAGTGGCAATCCGAGGTTGATAGCGCTGCCAGTTCCTCCCAGAACAAAGGGTATTCTAGAGGGGATCCTAAAGCTCGAGCAGCTGCAGCTCGTCCTCCGGTGCCTGAGGTTTTGTTTCCAGCCATTCCCCAGATTGCCAGAAACTGGAAGTTGAGTGAAGAAGCAGGCCTGCCATACTCAGGGTCACCTTTCAGGTCAGTCGAGGACGGACCGGGACGAGTGCCTGCTCTTATTGAGGACCAAGCCTCCTTCGTTTGTCAGGATCAACGAGAGGGTATTCACGAATCCATCTTTGCTTCTCTGCAGGTTTTTGGGCTCGTGTGGCACTTGAGACCTTCACGCAGCAGCTTTCACCTTTTGAGCTGTCGGGCCCTCCGAAGCATACCATTGTTCTGCGTTCTGTTGGACTTGGGGGTTTCGTCAGATTTGATTCCGAGGAGAATTTTGAATCTTTTTGTGCCCAGTCTGGAGGTGAAAGTAGGATTGCATACGGTTTCGCAACTTTCACGGAATTGGAGGTCTTTTGCCAGGGAGCAAAGCTCCAGGTGCCTGCCCTTTTCAAGCCATGTTGAATCGAGACCGTTTAAGGTCTGCCAGCCAAGGAGACCCATCTCTCCTAGTGCTAACTGTTCCAAGTTTTGCTTCAGCAGTGCAAGATGAAGTGGACGTTTTTGCGATCCCAGTTGAATTCAGACAGGGAGGAATGCTCCTTGCCATCCCAATAGATGTGTTGTCAGACGATACCCTTGCTGCAGGTCAAGCTGGATCCGAAGAGGTCATGTTTGGCCCGAATTCGACCTTTACTGTTGGACTGATTGAAGAATCCGAGGACCTCATGTCCGTTGTATCTCTAGATGCTGAGGCCCAGGTCGTTGTGGTTGATGTTACCAATGACATTTTGTCAGCTTGCCGGGAATATGACCCTGTCACAGACTCTCATGCTGCAATCATGGGTTTTTCGCTGGACCATCCAAACAGCATCCCTGAAGCTGGACGTTTGTTTGCTGTCGTGAATGAATGGCTGTTGAGTCGTACAGATGACAGAACTGGTTTTTACTCTGCTCAAGAAGACCAGGTGCCAGTTCCCAAAGACCCAAAAGCCCAAGGTACCGCTGTGCCTTCACAAGCCAAAAAGACTCAGCCGCCGAAGCGTATCACCAATGCGATGATTGCAGAGCAGTTGGGAGCCATGAATGCCCAGCTTCTTCTTTTGTCACAGAGGCAGGACCGGTTGGAGAAAGCAGGTACTACCTCTGCCGAGGTTGCGCCAGGTCCTTTTGCTGGTCAAACATCAAAGCTACCTGCAGTGTCGGCCCGATTGCAGAATCCCAGTGGGGTGTCTCAGACAGTGGCAGCAAAGGCCCTCAATTTATTGGGGCCTCCTCCAAAAGTCAGAAACCTTCAGCCCACCTTGATTGCCGAAGGTGCCGCGCAAGACGAGCCGTACGATGTGTTACAGTCTGGCGCAGAGGAACCGCTGGGGGTTGCTGCTGCACTGACGCAGCAAAGCTCGGCAATTACAGCCCTTGTTGCCCATCTCACAGCTCAAGGTGGAGACGTCCTGGGAGATTTCACCCCTGCAGGGAATCAATCTGGGTCTATCAGAGGAGTGCAAAGAAGAGAAAAGATGCAGAACGGACTAGCTGCGGGGACAAGCAATTTCTTCATCCAGCTCATGCAACAGCTCCATCGCCGTCTTCACCCATTGAAGCCTCTACCGCAGTCAGAGGAGGAGACTTTTTCGGTGTCAATGCTTCAGTACTTGGAGCGCCAAGGCGGGTACCGCCACAACCGGGAGATGGGTTTGGTTGCTTGGGTGTTAGGTCATGCGATAGATGCTGCTGCCCAAGGAGATCTGCGTCACACCCGAGAGGTTCTGGCTCTTCTCATGGTTGCGGTGGAGCAGTCGGTGCTGGATCGAGGGGACTGGACGTTGGCATATATGTTGACTCTTATGGAAGAGCCCCCATTGCAGATGTTCCAGGAACGGACCGTCAACATGGTTCACCAGGCCAGGCCCTTTGGGCCACTATGCCCGCCTCAGTGGACAGCAGTGTGCCTCTCATACCTCAAAGACATGGAAGTTCTGAACTCAAAGAAGACAGAGACGGCAAAGAAAGCAGCCAAGCCATCAGCGCCTGCAGGAGCCCCGCCCAGCAGCGGGGAACCAGAAGGGGAGATGTCACCCAAAAGAAAGCCACGCTTCCCCAAGAAGCCAAAAGCCAAATCAGTTCCGGAAGCTTGAGGGGCAAAGACCGCTCCCTCCGGACAGAGCCTGACGAAGTGAGGGTTTCTAATAAAAGGGAGTTAATTAAAGGTGGACTTTTAATTGGGGATGGATTTTTAAATAAACATAAAACTAAAAATAAGTTTTGCATGTCCTGCTCATCCCCGCTTGAGCCTGGCTATCCCTGCAGAGCCTGTGGATTTTTGCCTGCTTCGGTTCCTTTGAAACAACTGGACTCAGCCGCAGACACCTTGTCCTTTGCTAAGTGGTGTTCGCTTTTGACTGTTTCCATTTTGCGCACAAGATCCGCTTTCTCAGCTTTCCTTTCGTCTACGCTGCATTTGCCACGAAGTGATGTTCCTTCGTCATCGTTAACCTTTCCCTTGCCGTTGCCTTACCCAGGTATTTTCGCAAGGATGCCTCCAGGTCTGTCCTCTGCCTGTCGTAGGAGATGCCATTTTCGTAGGGCCCTTCATGTGGTTGTTATGGCACTTAACTACTGGTGGAGCGGTAGCTGCTTTATACCCTTAGAGCATCTGGAGAGAGTCCCAACTCTTTCGCAACAGCGTGTGCTGAAGAGGATTGCGGGCCTTATGTTGGCTGACGGCCCCCGTGAGATTTTCGATGTCCCGCGGTGTGGCCGACGTTTCCCCCAAATTATTGAATTATTGCACGCCTTGCCGAGCTGTCCCAATACATCACCAAGATGGGCATTGGTTCTGGTCCTTATGCTAAGGTTTTTCCTGGTCACACGGTACCCATGGATAATAGCCGCTATGCTGAGCTCGAACCGTATAAGTCCCTGGATGCCTCTCGACTTAAGCTTGTTGGCCAAGGTCATTTCGATGCGGGCCCTTTTTTGCCTCCAGAGTTGTACATGGCCTATGTGTACCCCGACTCACTCCTGTCTGAAAGGTTTCCGAAAGCTTTTGAGTTTCCCCAAAAGATGGACTCTGTTTCGGAGGTTTCTGCACTTGCCAAACTTTGGGATGCAAAGGGTCTGCTGTATGTTCATGACACTGACTTACAAAGTGAAAGGCCACATGAAATGGTTAGGGTTTTTAACTGTTTAAAGAGCTCTGCAGTGGATCGACAGATAGGAGACCGCCGCGGCCGAAACGCCGTTGAAGACCGTGTGACTGGCCCATCCCTGAACCTCCCGTCAGGTACAGATTTGCTGGATCTTCATGTTGATGCTCAGTGTGAAACCCTGTCTATAATCTGCACAGACCGACGTGACTTCTATCACCAGTTTAGGACCTCCCAGAATAGGACGATGTCGAACACTGTGGGCCCACGGATCCCTCTTGCCTTACTGAGGGATACTAAGGCCTTGGAGGTTTTTGCTGCAGCGAAAAATGCAAAGAAGCCACCCCGTTCTGTGGCTGGTGATGGACTTGGTTTTTCATCCCGTCAGATGTTTGCGAGGTGCCCCAAAGATGAATGCATGGTAAGTTTCCAGAGTATATTTCAGGGCGACCATGCAGGAGTTGAAATTGCCACTGCAGCCCATGAAGGTCTTTTGCATTCGGCTGGTCTTTTGGACGATGTTACTCGGATTGTTTCAAGCCGCCCTTTCTTTGGTAGGTCCCTGTGTCAAGGTCTGGTCATCGATGACTATTTTGCAATTGCCAAAGTACCCAAACCTTTGTTGGTGCCTGACCCTGCGATGGAATGTTTGAAGACAAGCAAGGCCTTATATGCGAAGTTTGACATTCTGGGTTCGGATGACAAAGATATCTGTGGTGAACGGAAAGCCAAGATCATAGGTGCTTCTATTGACGCTTCCGAACAATGTCAGCTTAGGGGCCATACTCTGGTGGCTGCTCCAGCTCATACCACCGATGCTTTGCACCTGTGCATTTTGGGGGGTTGGACATCGGTTTTGATGTTCCGTCGTCCTTTCATGTCCGTATTGCAAAAGTCTTTTCATTTGGTCAGCCTTGATGCCTTTGAAGCCTCCAGCCCGAAGTTGGTCCCTTTAACACGTCCTGTTGTCGATGAGCTCACAATTCTGAGTGCCTTGGTTCCTCTTTGCGTTTCCGATATTTCTGTGGATTTCTGCACAAGGTTGTTTGCTACTGATGCCTCCCTTGAAAAAGGGGCCATTGTTAGTTGTCCTCTGGAGAAAGAAACCATGGAATGTCTCTGGCGTTCATGTAGGTCAAAAGGAGGCTACTCAAAATTATTGAGTGCGAACCAGTCTGTACTGTCCAGATGCCTTGATTTTGAGGAGGATGACGTGCCAAAAACAGAAAGCATTAAACGACCTTTGGCATATCGTTTCGACTTTGTAGAAGTCTTTGCAGGAGCTGCCACAGTCACTTCTCAGGTCGCTGCCTTAGGGTTTCAGTTTGCTGCCCTATTGGCCTTTCATTCAGCCAGGAATTGGATTTGTCGCATGTCCGCGTTTTGGAATGGCTTGTTCACTTGGTGGTCAACCATTATGTTAAATCCATGATGTTGGAGCCTCCCTGTACAACCTTTAGTATCATGCGTAGACCCGCCCTGAGATCTCGTCTGGCACCTTTTGGTTTTGATGTTTCTGATCCACAGACATGTATGGGCACCACCTTGGCTCAGCGTGCGTTGCAACTTCTCTATGTCTGCTGGGTGCACGGGGTAACGGGCATTGCTGAGAAGCCTTGGACCTCTCTCATGAAGCACTTGCCGTCTTGGAACGCTATGGCCGAAAAGGAACATTGCGAGATTGTCAGATGTGACTCATGTGCTTATGGTTCAATTCACCTGAAGAGTTTTGCCTTCATGTGTGTGTGGGCGGATACCCAGCCCATTACCCGCAGGTGCAGTGGTGATCATGAGCATGTACAAGTTGAAGGAGCTCATACCAAAAAGTCAGCTACCTATGTTCCACAGCTTGCAGAAGCCCTCGCTCAGGTAATGGCTGCTGGCATTCGTAGGTTGTCTAAGTTTGTGGAGGAGATCGACATCCCAAAGGCGGAAGGGTTGGAAAGCCAGGCCATTAATGATTTGTGCCTTTCTAAGACTTGGCAAGTTGACTCAACTTGGACTTTCCGTGTTTCTTCCCACATAAACATCCTTGAGTTGTCTGTGGTGGTTCGGCTGGTTTCCAAGTTGGTCAAACAGGGTAAGTGCCTTAGAATTGTGGTCTTGGTGGACTCCAACGTTGTGAAGTGTGCTGGAGCTAAGGGGAGATCTTCCTCTCGTGCCTTGTCTCGCCTCTTGTGTCGCTTGGCTGCTTTGAGTGTTGCAGGGGGCATCTATGTCGCATTTGGTTTTGTGCCTACGAGGCTTAATATTGCCGACGATCCTACCCGTGGTGTTCCTTTGCGAGGGTCTATCCCGGGCTTGGACTTGCCGTCCTGGGATCGCTCCGACTTGTTCCGTCTCCTTGCCTTGCCTCGTCTCAGGCGTTGGACTTCAAATTGGGCGCGTCTTGTGCTTCGCCTTCTTGGCCCTTCTGCCCTTTCTTTGTGTGACCATGGTGTTTTTCGTCGTTGTCCGTTCCCCTATGGTTTGCTCTCCTTGCCTGTCTCATCTTGCTCTCTGGATCATCAGGTTTTGGATTTCGATGCAACCTTGGGTTTTCCTGGCGAAGGTCCTGGACTTTCCCTCGTTGGTAGCTGTAGTACCCATAGGCTCTTTTTGGTAGTGTTTTGGGGCGTCTTTGCCTTGCCATGCCATGGAGTGCTGTTTCCGCGGAACTCTGGGGATCTACTACGTCAAGCTCAACGAGAGATCAGGCCACCACTGCAGGAGGGGCGCCCGGTCACAAAAGTCACGAACATCCAAAGAACATCTTTTTTGGAGCAGTTCAGCAAGTGGTTGTGGGAACAGGGTTTTTCACTGGATGAAATGCTGGCAAATCATTTTACAACGATTGATGAGATTAACCGGCAGCTGGTGCGCTTTGGACGTTGCCTCTACTCAGTGGGGAGGCCCTACAACCATTATGCAGAGACGATTAATGCTGTGGCGTCAAAGAAACCTGCTATAAGGAGGCAGCTGCAAGAGGCATGGAACCTTGCCTTCGCCTGGATAAGAGACGAACCTTCTGCACACCATATTGCAATGCCGTGGCAAGTACTTTTAGCCTGTTTATCTGTTTGTATTTCGTGGGGTTGGTTGGATGTTGCTGGAATGTTAGCGCTCACTTGGGGCGCATTGCTGAGAGTGGGTGAGTTCCTTCAGGCGACAAGAGGTGAACTCTTACTGCCCTGTGATACGAATTTTACAAACAGTTTTGCGCTACTTTCGCTGCGGGAGCCAAAGACGAGATTCACGGCGGCGAGACACCAGTCCGCCAAACTGGACATACCGGACCTCTTGCATGTGGTTCATTTAGCTTTTGGTAAGCTGAATCCAAGCCAGAAGTTATGGCCAAAATCTGGACAAACTCTGAGACTGCGCTTCAAGTATGTCTTGCTCGAGCTGGGGATTGGTCAAAACGTTCGTTTAAATGGAAAAAGCCTGGATTTAGGGTCTTTACGCCCTGGTGGAGCTACTTGGATCCTGCAACAAACAGAAGACGGCGAACTCACACGCAGAAGAGGTCGCTGGGTCAACCAGCGGGTGATGGAACTTTACATACAGGAAGTGTCTTGCTTTCAATTTTTATCTGCCATTCCACAAAAGGCGCGCAACAAAGTTTTCGCCTTATGTGATTTCTTTCCTGATGCTCTTCGTGGGGCCGATGAATTCTGCGCAGCAAATATTCCTTGGACAGTTTGGTTTATCTTGTGGTCTGGACAAGTTAACAGGAAGTAGTGGGATTTGCGGGTCAATCCTTCAGCTCTCATTTGAGACAACTGATTGAGCAGAAGGAGTGTTGATGTACTACACGCAGTGCAGCCGAAACAAGTGGAAAATGGGGCGCTTGAGATCTTGAACTCCTAAGCTCGATGGCGTTCTTCCTGACACTTGTTGCTCAAGTCAACCCTGCCCTTTTACGCTGTCCCACCCGACATGATCAGTCCACCACAAGATGGGTCAATCCTTCAGCTCTCATTTGAGACAACAGATTGAGCAGAAGGAGTGTTGATGTACTACACGCAGTGCAGCCGAAACAAGTGGAAAATGGGGCGCTTGAGATCTTATATATATATATATACTTATTAACTTATTAATTAAAATTGATAATATATGTTTCAATATTATATATGTATGTGAATATTACATACATCTATTTCTATTTTTATATGTATACACCATATATCTATATACACAATATTTTCAGCTGACAGCGACGCCTCAGTGATGACAGAAACTTGTCATGGAGAAACATATTTTCCTACTTGCAGCCTCTTGATGGTCAACCTTCAAGGTGATCTTCAGCTGCAGATCGTGCAGGAGGAGAGCGGCAAGAAGCGGCGATTTCAAGTGCAGGTCCAGAAAGCTACCCTCTAAGAATTGGTATGTCACCAGCAATCAACAAGTCCATTCGGAGTAAGTGGCACAAATTGACAAACCCATTGCCCATAGTGAGAAGTTGTTCTTGTATATAGCTTTGCGAGTTTGCAGTGCAGTGAGTAGTCCATTCGTAGCTTAAAGCTCCAGGCTCCTGGTGAAGCCGAGACTTCCAAGGTGGAAGCTGAGAAGGTCAAGGTGTCCAAGTTGAAAGAACATGTGGGGAACTCGAAATGAACAGACAATGAAGTCAAGTCAACCTGGTGGATTCATAGTTCTGGAGGTGAGATTGGGACCATTGATGTCCAGGAACGTCAATGACACGAATTCCTGAAAACTGGGTATTTTGATGTATTTTGACGTATTTTGACACATTGGAGAGGTCTGAAGCACAATTGATGTTCCGCGGGAGTGTCACGCTGGAAATGGCGGTTTCAAGACAGTCCAGGACACTGCGGCAAAGCCCGCAGCTTCTGCAGCTTCTGCCGCTGCATCATCAATGTTGGCAGGATTGCATGCTGAGAGGCTCGAGTTTGACTGTGTTTCTTTCTTCTGTTGTTGTGACATTTTTATAATTTGTGGATATTTGTGGAAAAGTCTTGTCCAAGTGAGACATCATAAATGCTTCTGGTTGTATGGAAGCGAATAGTAGAGCATGGACACGTGTCTGCATGTGCTGTGCTTCTGCTATCAAACTTACTTCGGGTATTTGCATTGTTGGTTTGTGGTAAAATCAACGCGCTTTCCTTCAAATGAAACACTTTCAGCAGATGTAAGTTGGGAGCATGGCATTGCTTTCATGGAACTGTTCTGTTGCAGCCGGAGGTTACAACGGCAACAGGCTCAAGCTGCCGAGCGAACAAAAGAGTTGCAAAAAGCGCAGAACGAAACTCGGCAGCAGAGAAGTCAGAGGCACCACATGCAGAAATTGGCCAACAGACAGGATGAACAGGATGGATGCTTTGATTTTGATTTTGATTTTGATAAACAGGAAGTGCCTTGGTTCTGAACATTTTTTTTGAATGGCACAGAAGGACATATACATATATGAGAACAACTGTGATGGCAACCGTTTTGATCCTCAAGGTCTAGATGCTAGGTGTTGCCACGCTGTTGGAGGCTGCTGGGGTGCTCAACACTTTCACCTGGTCATTTGCCTGTCCGGCACATTGCCATCCATCTGTATATTCCCTGTCCTTCTTGCTGGCCTGCTTAGGGGTGTCTTCATTGCAATCCCCCTGTCCGTTTGGATTTATTGGATTTTCATCAGTCACCTCCAAGTCCATCCTCCATCCCAGCCTCCCTTCCCAAGCAGAGCCCAACAACTTGATCTCCTGCGGGCATACGTGTATGAGCGGCCTTGACAGAGTTGCAGCCGCGATTTCAGGTTTGGCTGAGGCAGTGAGGAGTTTAGCATTTGAATTGGGCAGGGCAAGAAGGCCTGTGACATTAGAGACATCAGAGGCAGACCTTGGTGAGTGTGAACTGATTGAGGAGCAGTCTTTTGTGCCTGGCGCCCCTGTTGGTTTCAATTCCACCATCAAGTTCCAGGTGGAAGAAGGCCCTCCACCGACACCCGACTTTTTGGTGTCGCTGGCAAAGAAGAAGCTCCGTTCAGCAGCTGACAGCACAGAGGATAGGGTGTCCAACTTTGCAAGGACTTCGACGTGCAAAGAGGCCGAGAGATTGTGGGAGCTGTCATTGTTGAGCGCTTCCCTTCAGTCACTGAGCTGCAGATCTTTTGCGCTGGAGCCCAGGTGCCAGTTCCACCCCTTGTGAAATGGAAAAGCGGGCAGTGAAGTTTGCGTCCGCAGCCTCTCCAAGCTTGCTCATCTTCGAGGTGCCAGGCTTGATAGCAGCAAGTGGCGCGGACACTGTGACATATGCCCTGCCTCTAGTTGGGAGGCAAGGTGGGCTTTTGTTAGCTTTCCCTGTTGGGGTGGTAGATGAAGAAGCTTTTCCTGGCACTACGGCTGATGAGGATCAGATGGTTGGCCCTGCAAAGACGTTTGAAGGCATTGAGTTGTATGAGGAGGAAGACGCCGGGAGTGGCGCCATTCAAGCTGTAGGGCAGGTGTTTCCTGTTCCGTCACTGTTTGCGACTTTTTGTATTGAGTGCTGGCCTATCCGAGAGAGTATGACCCAGTGGCTTATTCCCTGCTGCAGGTGGTTCCCTTTGATGAGACGCATCCAGCAGCTGTTCCATTGCACGCTGAAGTCTTGGCCCCGGCTCTTGAATGGGCCAGAGGTGAACTTGAGGGCCGAATCCTTTTTTACAGTGCGAAGAGCCGAGGCCTCGGGGAAAGCTCCCGCAAAGAGGATTTCGAATGCAGCCCTTGCAGAACAAGTTTCAGCCCTATCAGCCCAGATGAAGGTGCTTATGAAGCAGCAGGCCATGGCCGTCAATGGGCCATATCCAAAGACCCCTGGGATGCCATCCCGTGCTACAGGTCCTGCGATAGAACCAGCCGCCACCGCCACAGGTTTCAAGATGCCAGCTGTGAGCCAAGGCCTTCTGCGAAGCTTGGAGGAGCCCCAGCGGTTTTGGTAGGGCTCCTTCGGGGTTCTTCCAAAAATCACATTGCAACTCACTCAGGAGTTAGTGCTAGCTGCGGTGCTGGAGCCTTTCATGATGTCAAACCTTGGCAGCTGTCGCTCAAATGGTGCATACACCAAGCTGCTTACACCAGTGCAGGCCTTGCTTGCCAAGATGAATGAATTTGAGGAGGTGGGTGAGGAAGTTTTCGAGCTTCCTCCTGTCAGACCAGGCCGGCCTCTGGCTTTCACTTTCGAGTTCCTTGAGATTTGTCAGGGGCACGCCGTGTCACCGAGTTTTTAGCAGGCATGGGTGTCGTGTGTGGGCCCCCTTTCGACCTCACTTTCTCGGAGGAGTGCGATGAGTGCAACATGAAATTTCCTCACCTTGCAGCCTGGATCACTCACCTGATTGCAGAGGGCATCCTGAAAAAATTTTTGCTTGAGCCACCATGTGCAACCTTCTCTGTCATGCGTCGGCCTCCCCTACGTGACAGGATCCATCCTTTTGGATTCGACACCAGTGACAGACAGACAGAGGATGGAAATATATTGGCCCACAGGTCATGTCAGATTGGCTACGTAGCCGCTGTCAATGGAGCCATTGCAATCACTGAGAAGCCCCACTCCTCCAAGATGAATATCTCCCAGTGTGGGGAATGTTGCTTCAGCTTGCCGGTGCAATGTTGATTCGCGCAGACTCCTGCCAATTTGGATCAGATCACCAGAAGAGTTTTGTTTTTTTGGGAATCAACGTGGATTTGAGACCACTAGCCTTGAGGTGCAAGGGTGCATGCAATCACGTGCCTGTGCAGGGAGTTTTTACCAAGGAGTCAGCAACCTATGTGCCAAAGCTCGCATATGGCCTTGCACATTGCATTTAGCAGCATCAGATGTGAAAGTAGAGGGTCTCGAGTCTCGAGAACCAGCTTGTGAATGAGGTCATGTTTAACAGCGGACTGGGAGGTTGTGAAGGCTTGGGCTTTTAAGAGCAAAACTCATATTAAACCTCCTGGAGTTGAAGTCTGTGGAAAGGTTGGTTGAGAATCAAGCGAGGAAGAAGCTCTCCCTACGCTTCTTGTCCCTTGTCGACTCTAATGTGTCTCGGGGAGCTCTTTCAAAGGGAAGGTCGGCTTCTCATGCTGTCTCCACTATGATTCGCCACATCAACTCCCTCCTTGTTGCTCCTGACCTCTACATGATCAACCCTTTCAACCCCACCAGCCTGAATGTTGCAGATGACCCAACAAGGGACTGAGAGATCAGACCCTCCGTCCCTGCTATGGATTTGGCCCAGTTCTCCAGAGATCAGTTGTTTGACTTGGCCACTTTACCAAGACTCCGCTGGGCTTCAAACTGGGCAAGGCTAATCATCCTCCTCTCGGCCCCAGAAATCTTATTGCCCAAGGAGAGGTCAGTCTTCCGCCGCTCCCTCATCTTCCAGTCACGTCCAAGTCTCCGGTCCACCCCAGTGTCGATTTTAGTTGTTTGGACTTCGACAGCACGCTGGGGTATCCAGGTGAAGGCCCTTCATCCTCCTACTCTCGGCTGTGCCATCCTCTTCGGCTTCCCTCCTGGATTTTCCTCGTCCCCATCCTGTGGAATTTTACCCAGTTTGATTTTGGACTTCCTCTTGGACTTTCCATCGGGGTCGGGCGCTGCTGCTTGCTGCCTTCTCGCTGCTGTGTTGTTGGATTGCTGTTTAGTTATCCTCCCGCGCACCAGCCATGGTTTTAGGGCCTACGACGGGCACTGAACGGCAGAAAGCTGAAGAGAGGGCAGCCCGCCAATCACTGCCGATTGGCAGACCTGCAGGAGGTTACTGGACGCCTCAGAGAGCGATACTGGAGAAACTTTTTGGACTGGACCAATAGCGAAGGAATGACATTTGAAAGGTTGCTTTTAGCCTCTCATTTACATGAAGAAATCATCTCGATTCTGGTGAAGTATGGCAGGCTTTGATATTCTGCTGGAAAGCCCTATACGGTTTTTGCTGAAACTACAAACATGTTGAGTTCAAAAAAGCCGGTGCTACGACGTCAGTTGCAAGGCGCGTGGGACTTAGCTTTCAGTTGGGTTCAAGCAGAACCATCCCCCCACCATGTTGCAATGCCTTGGCAAGTTTTACTTGCTATGGCAACGGTTGCACTCACGTGGGGTTGGCCAGATGTGGCAGGATGTTTAGCTCTCGGATGGGGAGCCTTGCTTAGAGCTGGAGAACTAATTGCAGCAAAAAGGCGTGACCTATTACTGCCTCGAGATGCCCAGGAAACAATTTGTTTCGCATTGCTGGCAATCAATGAACCGAAGACGAGGCACACTGGACCACGTCACGAAGCTGCGAAATAAGAGATACCTGACCTTTTGCAAGTTACAGATTTAGCTTTTGGTGACAAGGCGGGGTACGAAGCTTTGGGAACAAACTGGGAAAACTCTACGTCTTAGATTAAAAGACCTGCTGATCGAACTTGGCTTACCTGTTTCCCGCGAAGCAGGTATGAAACCCTGGGATGTAGGCTCCCTCCGCTCTGGAGGGCAACGTGGCATTTGCAGATGATTGAAAATGGTGAATAGTGCCGGCGCAAAGGCCGCTGGCTCAATATGAAGGTGATGGAGGTGTACGTCCAGGAGACCACAGCACTCCTCTACCTGAAACGGATTCCAAAATCTAGCCGCCAGAAGGTCCTTTCAGTCACTCAGCTTTCCCCACAGTTCTGGCCAGATGCATTACACTCAAAACTGCACAAGTAAGTGCCCAAGCAAGTATGGTATAAGCCCCGCATACAAGCAGACCTTTGGAGGTAACGTGAGAAATGGGTAGCAGCTGCGTTTTCACCAGCAGCCTGTGAGACAATTGGGGTTTGGAGAAAAGAAAGGCGCTTGAACCGTTGGGAACAACTGTGATGGCAACCGTTTGATCCTCAAGGTCTCCCAACCCATGGAGGCCCACCCAACTTGATGTGGAGCTTGGGTAGCAGCTGCGTTTTCACCAGCAGCCTGTGAGAGAATTGGGATTTGGAGAAAAGAAGGGCGCTTGAACTGTTGGGAACAACTGTGATGGCAACCGTTTGATCCCAGCCCATGGGGACCCACCCAACTTGATGTGGAACTTGGGTGGCAGCTGCGTTTTCACCAGAGCGCGCTTGAACCCTTATATTGTTATATATATATATGTTTACATATGTATCACTGCTTCGTCTGTAGTCATGGACGATGTTTCCTTTGTGGATGAATGGACTCGCAGAGGGCATGCTTTACCTACCCTGATATGGAAAGGTTGATTGCCTCCAGATTTCATTTCTGCAACGGTTTCCTCTCTTTTCTGCGAAAGGAAATCAAACAAGCGAAGAAGGCGCGGAAACTTCCCTGCTCGGAACTTTTTGTCAGGGAACGTGGATGTTTAGACAACCCTATTGGTTTTGCACGGCATACAGCAAAAAATGTAAAAAAGGAACGTAAACCAGTGGCATCACTTGACTGTTTGGCAGTGAGTGCCCAAACAGGTCCAGAGCAGTGTGGCTGATGACAGTATGGCTGATGAAAATCACCGTCACTCAGTGCCGCTCTCCACGGGAGGCTGCAAAAAAGGAGAAAGCGAAAGCTCCCACGGCTGACGACGATGACCTCGATGCCCTGCTGATGGAATTCTCAACTCAGGTGGATCAACATTTAGCCGCAAACACTAATCAGGAAACCGTTAGGCAATTGTTTTGGATGCCTTTGTTGCGTTTCCTACGTGGCAAAAATTTGAGATTTTGAAGCTCTGAGGGCAAACACTCTGTCCACTTTGTGATACTGATAACTTGCCACATTTGCTGATAAAGAACCGCAAACATCTAATGCTTAATGTCAAAAGGTTGTCCTCTTATTGGTATGTCATTCATTACCACATTCAAGTAGCATGCACGACATGAACCCTGCATCTGCACCCATGATTCCTCTCTTGCAGGAGCGAACTTGCAATTTCGCTGGCTGCAAGGAGCTTCCATGACAGTTGCATTTTTAAAAATAAAGTTTGCATGATGCAGAAGATATGTCCCTGTAGCTGACAGGCAAGGGTCTCAAATATTACGAAAAAGTACAAACCATCATCTGGAGCGGTGTCACTGGTGTTCAGGAGAAAATCAATACCCTCATGGATGCGCCGGTCACTGAGTTTGACCACACCATTCAGGGAACCAAAGAGCAAGAGCAGTAAGGGCAGACAAAAACTATTGGCCAAGAGCGGAGGATCCAGTCTTTCAGCCGTAAAGGTTTGTAAAGATTTGTGAAGTTTGTGATGATTAAAGTTTTCCACAGGAATCAACAGATGCAAAGCCATGACGGTGTATGAGGATCTCAAAGTGCCGGTACTGCAACAGCCGCTTTTGTTTGAAGCACGCGCAGGCAGGAAGGGGTTGAACCGTCCTAAGCTGTGCTCCCTTCCCATCCCGTGCCTTGTTGAAAGGCAGAAGTGCACGGTTGTGGAGAACAGGCACACCGTGCCGAGCAAAAGAAGTGGAAGGAGACGCAGACTGCAGCGTCTTGGCTCCTGTTTTTTTTGCACGGACGCAGACACATTGCCAGGATCTTGAGTCATAGAAATGCAAACGCATCTGCAGACGAGAGCGGAGAAATCTTTAGGACTTTGAGCTTTGCTTGAACTCAAGATGTGGTATGAGGCCACTTCTCGAGGTAGCGGCCTCGTGAACAAGTCTGCGGGCAAAGATGGTCGAGGTGTTTCTGCAGAGATCCTGGTGTTAGCTGAAAGAAAGTAATTGTGTCTCCAAGGGGAGCTGAAAAAACTATGCATCATTACACATGGCTGGTGGTGTGGGACAGTTCATGTCTTGACGAATGGTGAACTTTCGTCACCATTAACCATTAACCATTATAAATTGATAATAAATTGAGGATTTTGTATCACGCTTGCTGGCAATGTTCAGGTGCCTTGGTGAACAAACTACAAGAGAAGGACGGGCGGAAGATGGCATCATGTCAATAGATTCCTGCCACCATTCACTACCGATGTTTCCTGGGTTCTTTTGTCTTGAGGGAAAGTATTGGAGATGTGATGCCAGGTGAAGGAGCAGGAAGCTGGTCGAACTGCCAAGAAGAAAGACAAGAAGTGAGAAAATGCGGGCACCTTGAGCAGGACAGCTGAAGCCAAAGACTGCCTTCAGAAATGCTTTGGAACTGCCCATCATGTGTACATGTGGATTGTATATACATGGAGGAGGATATCACTAGATATCAGGGTTTGCAATCCTAATTTATATATTTGTGAAATCTTATAAAGACGTCTACATATATCGATCGATCTTTTTCCAAGCATGAAGATTTGTTGGTGGATCGCTGTTGTACTGGAGGGACCAAACCACTAGTGTGAGTCAATGCATGACTGGACACGGACTGGTGGTCTTCGCAGCTCAGGATTTCAGATGAAAATAATGAATGCTAGGACAAACTGCAACTCCCAAAATCTCCCAACTTCACCAGGAAATCTGAACAGCTACTCCACACTTCAAGAGCAAATGCCATGAGAACATAGCCTTGCGGTTGACAGACAAGTTTCTCAAAACCATCTAGTCTTCCTCGGAGACTTTGGGCAATCTTCGGCGACTGCAGTGTCCCTACTTCTTGGAAACAGTTTCTCTGAAAGGTTTGATGACATATTTTTGTCATATTTAAAACCTCTTCTTCGCTTCCCTTGAAGCTGTCATAGATGCTGCGATGGATGAGAAGGATGAATCCAGCGAGGCGATCGGAAGACGGGAGATATTTTTAGCCACGTACTGAAATTGTACTAGCCACGTACCTGCAACAAAAGTCCTTAGCCTTGTGGACTGCGGTTTGGCTTAGCTTTGTCAAAATTCTATCTTGTATTGTGGTTGGCTTAGCTTCGTATTTTCTTTTCTTAGCCTTGGACAACTGTGCTTTGGAGAGTTTACGACAAAAGTGAAATGACAGAGAGTACGTTAAACAAGTCAAAACAGAGTAACGATTCGAGAAGAATGGTTGGAAGATCCGGAGATTTGCCCAAAAGTCTTGAGGTAGCGTCGGAAGAACAGTACGGGAAGACCTTTGAATCCAATTTGGTGGGAGCTGTTGCAATTTCCGCGAAACAGTGACACCAACCTGACAGGATGATGCTGAAGAGGACTGAGATCCAGAAAGATTCAGGAACTGGTTAGCAGTGTAGCTACCACTAAGCAGGATCTCGTTGACTGGCAGCGCTTCAAATGCCATTTACTCACAGTGCGTGGTCTGGTGCCACAGGGCCATTTTGTGATAGTGCTACATTGTTTTTCCTTTCCTTCCTGAGCGCCCTAGAAACCATATATATATAAAATAATATATATATATAAATAATATTACTATATTATATATAAATGATATCTCTCTCTCTCTCTATTTTGCTACAATTACAATACTGTAGATATTTTCCCTGGGTCATTTTCTCAAAGAAATAGAATGAAATAGATCCCCCCATATGAGCATTGACATTATTGCTATTAACTGGAAACTATGGTAACTATGGGGAAACCATGAGGCTTTTCACATTTTTATGGACTCATTTGGACCTTAGACACCCAAATGGCAGCAACAAGACAGGACTCCGATGGCGTGCACGACTCAAGGCCTGGCTCAGCGAGCTCCAGGCGCATGGCCAGCGCATGGCCTGGTGGGAGGGGATTTCCGTTTTTTTTTTTTCGTGGCAACAAATGGATTTTTTCATGGTTTCTTTTGCTGACGGTTCAGAGGATGTTTAAGTTTTTTTCTTTAGGACTAACTTTAATGTTTTTTCCGATGGTAAGGATCTAATTTCAACGGATTTTGCATGATTTTTGAATGAAATGTGAATCAGGGATCACATTTTGAGGGAATCCAGCTTCAGTGCTGTTTTGACCTATACCACCAAATCAAGAGCTGAAGATGATTTGCGGATTTAAAGCTGGTCTTTAAGATTCCAAGTCTTGCTTCTTAGATGTATGTAGTATTTTTGGAACAGAGAAAGCGTACAGAGATGTGGAGGGTGTCTTGAGTGGGGGGCTGTGGAGGCAGAGAGTTGCCGTGGCAAATGAAGAGATGTCACCATTGGAAGTGCGCTGGGGCATGATCATTTTTTTTCCTGAGTCCGGATGTCCATGGATGCAGGTGGGGCATTGCCAAGCCATACTCCATTCGATCCAGATTGAAGGAAAGGATTTGTTGGGAGGTACATTTTTCTCAGATGAGGGCGAATCCTCATTTTCGAGACGGACGATCTCTCGACAAGGCCGTGGCCGACATGGCCCTACCATCAGCCGACAACGGCTTCACCTTGTGAGGCTATCGAAGAAATCGAGAAAGTGCCCTGGAGTGGATCATCTCCCAAGGCGAGGAACCCCCAGGGATGATGGCGATGAAAAACTGAGCTGGCGATATCAGCATATTTGAAATGATTTGAAGATGCAGCCTGTTGCTTAGGATGCAGATAAGCCTGTCAGAGTCTCAAACAGCTACGGCAAGGGAGACATTGGTGGTCCCAAATCTCCGAGGTAATTAAAGAAACATTTTTTTTCTCCTCCAACTGTTTGACTGATGATCCTTGTGCCGAGCTGAAAGAAAACAAAAACCTGCCCACATTCACCTGTAGGCAGAGGGAAATTTCTGAAGGTTCTTTTGCCTGGCTTGGTTCAGTCAGAGTTTCGAGATGTCGTTGTGTGCTGATTGAGGTGTGGCTACTGAAGGCTCCATTTCCACCCATCGAGGCAATGCAGGGTGGTCACGGCCTGGTTTTGTAAACTTAATATATATATATAGTATTTTTATGAGACGCCCCATCTTTCATTGTTTGAAATGAGCATTAGGGATCCCTTTTCTTCCAATCCAGATCTTTTTTGAGCTACTTACCCGTGTGAATAGCGGCTGCGACTTGTGAGAGAGGTCATGAAGTGGCGATGCAAATTACGCGATGAAGCGACAGGCAGACTTTCTGGCCGCAGATTCGGTGGTACTGCTGTCGCTTTGTTTTCTTGGGACTATGACCTTTCATGACCTTTCCATGTTCTGAACTGCGCAGCCGGTCCATGCCAGTCCTTGTCAGGTCGACCCTTGGTGGACCCACAGACTGGAGGAGAGCTGCTCGATGCAGAGGACTGTCGCGTCAAGTTCATCAAGCTTGAATCAAGCTTCGCTTTCTTGCTGTTGGAAAAGACAGATGTGGAACACTGAGCTGTTTGTATTTCTTCATGGACAGATGCCACCCTGATCCTGCGCATGTCTTGCAAGTCTCATGAACGCCAGCATTAGTATCAACTTCACTAGCTGGTCCATGCTACAATTTGAGTTTTTTTTGATACAAATTGTATACATACATATCATATCATATCATACATATCCGTACATATCCGTACATATCCGTAACATTTGTTACATGCTTTTTGATTTTGACACGCCTTGGAGCTGAGGACCGATGGTTCACACTGGACAATCGACGTTTGTATTGCTTGCAGAAGGTTGCTGTCTCCCTGTGGCCCGATCGTGCAGTGGCTGAAGTGTGCTGTTTGCCGTTGGGGCCTTGATTGAAAAAATGGGGGGGGGGCTGGGACTAGGTACTAGGCCTAGGATCATTAAACATATTGGTATATGGATGTATATGGCCCGAAACTCAAAGATTTGTTTGTTTTTTGTTGGAATTGAACCATGAAACCACCATTCCACTTTCGGGTCCACAGCGCGATGCCCTTCCGTCTCTTTTTCATTTTTGTGTTTGAGTTTACACAAGCTGATCATGCCAGAAGCAAATGGCCAATATTTTTGCAGTTTTTCCAGGATTCATGAGAGAGGAGTGCTTTGTCAGAGCATCACTCCATTCAAGAAGACTTTGGGCGATAGAAATGGGATGAAATCTGTGAAGGGGCGAATTGAATCTGGCACCAATGGACCCACGTGATTTTCCTTGCAAATGAGCGGCTCACACAGCCTGCTGTAGGTCTCTTGAACGGATGATTCACGCTTTTTTCTTTTTGTTTGGTCTTGTCAACTTATCCAGCTGAGGTCTACCAAGGTGACCAAAATGCGACAGCTGAAGAAATTCCGTTCGGCCTTCAGCAGAACTGCAAATTCTCAGCACTCAAAACTGTCAAAGCAAGCGAGAATCCATAGAAGCTCAGCGTTTCAATTGCCTCTGCTTTTTGACATGGAACGTTACGCGCAAATGGTGTGGGCACATATGTTCACTTGCTAGATGCACTGCAAACAAAAGCAGCAATTTGTCATTCTTCGCAATCAAAATCATTAATGCCTTGGGTGATGTCATTGGAAGCCCTTTTGGTTGAGTGTATTTGTTCAATCCACCATGGCCAAGATTGAAGGCTCATTGATTGTCCGTCACTGCTCAGCCTTTTTTCCCCCCTTCTGATTGACATTTGCGCCTTTGGCAGAACCCCTGCACGAAGGTACTTTGGATCGTGGCTGCACCATTCTTGTGGGCAACAGGAGCGGTTGGTGGTTTCAGATTCAAATCGAAGACATAAGGCCCTGGTGCCATGTTTGGAAGTCTCCTCTGAAACGCTTCCCTGGGAACAGCTGGTGCAGTTGGTTGAGTTTCCGCAGGGTTGGTGGACCTATGCTTGGCCGTCAACCTTGCCTGGTTGGTGGACATGCTCTCAAATAATCCACAGCCAAAGCGCTGGCACTGCCCTTGACAGGTTGGTCATGGCGAGAAACTGCTGGCATTCAGGAGCCAACCCCAGCTGAGAGCAAGGCTGGTCTTGGCTGTGCATGACTGGAGTTCTTTGAAATGACAATGCTTCCGACATTGTGTGTTTGTCAGGTCCAAATCAACCGCCGGCGGCCACGGCGAGATTATGCGCAGGAACAGGCGCTGTCTTCTTGGCCAAAGTGGCATCCAAGAACATCATATCCGCTTCATGTGTACTCGTTCCTCGACATCTCTTTCTTTCAACTTGACATCTCAGACATGCTTCAAAGGCCACCACTGCACCAGAGCACGTCAAGAATGACCTTGACGCAGCAAATTGACGAACTAAGCAACCAATCGACTGCGCACCGCATCTCCGTGCACTAATACCCACCTTCGATTCCTTGCGTTGGGTTGAGTTCTTTTCCGCACATCCAAGCCAGGTAGATGTGTCCAACCCATGGGCTGCCTCAACATCCCCTCCACGACTGTGAGGCGTCGGCGCTTGCGAAGCAACACCGGCGAGAGCGAAGGGATCGGTCCCAGGCGCAGTCGGAGGCCTGGTGACTCCGTGAAGGGAGATGTTTCAATATTTTCAGTACTTTTCAATCATAGTATGGGAATGGAATGTCCCAAGATCGGTTTTAACTGGAATTCACTGAGATCCCTGGTATCTTGCTTGCTCCACAGGAGGAGAACTGGCTGATTTCTTGGCGAGGCCTGTCCATTGGCGTGCAAGAAACCTGGAGTAAGTGGAAAACTGTAACTGGTTCATCTGGTTCTCTGGTTCATCTGGTTCTGGGCTTTTTCAATCTTGATCCAGGCTGTACATGAAATATTTCTGTGCCCAGACCTGTCAAGCTGCAATTAGCCAACTGGGATCCGCCCGAAGGGATTTTGGCCTTTGTTCTGGTGTATGTCTTGGTTCGATGTGTCGTACGGGTGGTGTCCCCAGAATAGGGCTGGGCCGAAGACTTGAAACTTCTGAAACTGGCATGAGATCAATTCTGTCAGCTAAGTCTAGCAGTGGTGGAAAATATTTTCTTATATTTTCTTGATAGCCTGGCAATCTGAGAGTCCTGATTCCTGACAATTCTTGACCTTTATGTCACTGGCCATGTACTTTGCAGCTAGGGATTTCAAAGCCCTCTATAAAAATATCTAGAGAGTGAAGAACTGGTGTTGAGAACGGACCATTACTTTAGATTATATATATATATCACTTATATATCGTACCTGCGGCATGACCTGGCGTTCTGCACTGCGAATTCCGTAGTGTTCAATGGTGGTCACATGGCCATATGCTGGCAGCGATTCAGATCTTGGCGGTCTTCCGGGCCAACTTCCTCCAGTGAGTCGTGTTTTGCACGCTCTGGGTGAAAATCATTTGTAGAAAGATGTAGAAAGTGTGTGTGTGTGTGTGAAAAGACAAGGCATGACTTGGCAACATTGACTCAACTCTCAGGCTCCAATTCACCTTGTCGAGAGATTCAATGGCAAACACAGTGTGAGTCGAAGCACCCTGTTTCCAGCCAACGAACAGCAAATTCCGAGAAAGAGGGGTTGGCACTCATGGCACGCAGAAACTCTGTTCGCCAGTTTTCCTGGATGAAGTTTGTCCTCAAGGATTCCTTCAGCAGCATGAGTCTGAATTATGTGCGAGAAAGCATATGGCAGACCATACATTTACATAGACAAGTATCAATAATAGTTGTATAATAGATGCAAGTAAACAAAAGGCACTCATAAGTACAAGTGGTTGCTAGTAGCAGAGATGGCTACAAGCTAGGATGAGTTCCAGTCCTTTCTCCATCACCTACTAGGTAGCAAGACTTGAGCAGTGCTGTCATGGTCATGGATCAAGGAATCATGCTCTACACCAATGCTCATGTTTGTTCCGTAGAACCAGATGCTTTCTTACACTGAACCTTTCTTGCTGCAATGCCACATTCGCCGGCCATGCGAAGTGTGCTGCCACCCTTGCCCAATCTGGTCAAGGACCTGTATAAGTCTAGCTGCTGTGAGTGTCTTGTTGCGTGCATGGGACTGTCCAAGTTGGATTCCCCAAGCGCAGGACAAGTGTTCGACTGGTTGGTTCCCCTGTTCAATTCCTGTTCAATCCTGTGAAATTCACCAGAACCATGACCTTTCCAGATCAGACTTTCGACAGGAAGGGCCTCAGGTGCGCCGTGCAGCGCTGCTGGCGCGTGTCAGGGCCCGCAGCTCTGCTTTGGCTGGTCTGGATGACTTGGACCGAAAGAAACGAGAGGCCGTTGGCTGCAAAGGGTCAGAATTTTGAGATTGGTGCTTTAAGGCTTTAAGTTTGGTTCCGAGCGGTTTGAATCCAAACTGATTTCAATGGTTTCCCACTTGGTTTTGCACTTGGTTCTGCCCTTGGTTTTGCTGTGATGCAATTTTCAAGTTGGCCTTGGTAGTTGCCTGTTGATATCTGCATATATTTGGCATGATAGGCGTGAAATAATCCGTCCCAGAGAGGTGGCGTTGGCAGCTGTGACTGCAAATGGCATCGCCCTGCAGTGGGCACCAGAACCTTGCAAGATGGTGGCGTTTGTGTGGGATGGTTGAAGCAGGTGCAGATTGCTACCCATGTTGTGTCATCAAAGGAAATGGAGCATAGCAATCTTTTGAGTTGCATATATATATATATGTATACATATACATATACATATATCTAATATACATACAACTCTTCTCACTTACGCAAGCCCCTTAGATGTCTCATCTCACGTACATATCTTGCAAACATATATTTGACTTACACATCTGAGCCCTTATCTGACTTACGCATCTCATATACAAGTCTTTTGAAAACATCTTATTGACATGTGAATTCCATGTCTTGCACACACACACACAGAGTTACATTTCACTTGCACATCTCATCTAGATCTCTCATCCATATAAATCACATGCATGCCTCACTCACCCAACTCACTGCTTTGAGAGGATTTTAGATTTGTACCTTTAAGATTTTCAATGTGGGATGCAGAGCCCACCTTCAGGGTCAAGAAAGAATAGTCATCATATACTGTATCTATAACATTTCCGAGACTTGGTGTACATTACTTTGGGTGGTGTTCCAATCAGTCCCGGAGGGTTGGCGTATTTTATCCTGGCAGGGTTTTTGCCATTTCGGAAAACATTCCCGGATATGGCAGTGACCTCTGTTCTGAGGATCGCTTCAAAAACGACAAAGAAGTGGTGCTTGCGGCTGTTGCCAGTGCTGGGCAAGCTCTGAAGTACGTGGGGAAGGCTGCGGCAAATCATTGAGCAGTTTTGAAGCCTTTATATAAGTCCTACAGTGACGACAGGCAGTGGGTGTGGGGTGTGACTTTGACATTTTAACATTTTGCATAACTAGAAGCGGGGTATGCCTTGTGATCTCAGCAGAGGCCTTGCAAGCTGATCGCGACGTCGTTTCTGCTGCGGTTCAGCAAAACGGTCTTGCACTTCACTTTGCTTCACCCAGACTGCGGCGTGACAAGGCTGGCATTTGGAGCATTGCACTTTTGTGCTTTTTACATCTACTTATGTGGTTTGTTCAATATTGTTCAATGTTTGTTTGCATTTTGTATGTGAGTAGACGTGAAGAATGCAAGTGTGTAGTACTGTAAACAGATGCATCATCAGGCTTTGAAGTGAAGGCCCCAGGTTATATGTCTACTTTACATTCAGCTGACTGTCGTTTGCTCGGAGCCATCAATTCATGTGACGAGGAGCTTGTGCTTGAAGCATGCCAACGGGATGGGGCAGCTCTCCTCTTTGCCGATGACTCTTCAATGCAGCAAGAATTTTGATGTCGGCGTGCTCTCAAAATTTTCTCCTGCTGTGGAGAAACAAAGTACTGTAGAAAAAGCACAGTGCTGTTTCATGAATGTTCCCAAACTGGCTGGGACTGTACTTCAAATGATTTTTAGAAGGAGGTGGAGCAGATGGTAAAGCGGTTGGAAACTGGGCACTGCTTTGTACAGCGAAATAGACGGAGCTATGGCAGCTATGGTTTCTGGTTTGAAGAGTTTTGAGCAATCTATCACCGGAATATCCTGGCTACCATAGCTGCCTTCTTCAAAACCACCTCGTGTCCAAGTCGATGCCATTGTTTGGTGGTGGCCTTGACACCGCTTAGGACCAGCTTCGCAAAGATGAGGACTGCAAAGACATTGCTATGGCTGCGCACAGCATCTCCGAGACTCAGCTGAATGATTGCTCTCCAGCTTCTTGTTTCGACACATACACGATAGACCTGAGCTTTTTTTTCCAATGTTTTTCAACTTTTGAAGGAGCGGGATTCACAGATTGTAATAGAATGATTCAGAATGATAGCTTATTCTAACGTCCTTCTTTCTTGGCTGACAAGATGATTGCACATGGGTTTGAAATCGGGTTGGAAAATTTTCAATCATTATCGCGCGGCTGTCTAGAAGGCAAAAACGACAACTTCTGCATTTTGACGCAAGCAAATGCGACATAAGCACTCTACCCAGGCCTCAACATCTGTCCGAAGTTCCAGAAGTAGCAGGTGCCGTGGGATGAATTGGGGTCACAGGAACTGCGTGAAACAAACGTAGAATTGTACAATGCTGTTTGATGCTGTTTGCGTAGCTATGTTGCCCATTCTTCCAGCATGTTTTCATCAATTTCAGTTGTTAGAAGTTATGAATATGGTAAACAATGACAGATTTCAAGACACACTTTGTACCTGAGCGCAACGCCTTGCAGCCGGGACTGTCATTTGGCACTTCCAGCGGGTAAAATGGCAATCTGCCCAGGGAGAGAAGTCGTTTTGTGGCTTCCACCCGCGATGGGCGTTGGCCATCGTTGCTGCATTGGAGCTATCACCCGTTTTTGGTGCCCTAGATGCATGTTAGGGCCATGTTTGAGGCCGATTTGTGAACAAACTGCATGCTTTTGACAGGAGCCAGCATGTTTCCATTTTCTCTAGAGTTTCAAAATGCTTGAACATGACTGAACATGCTTCAAATTTGTTTAACTATAATAATATAATCTCGTCCTGCTTAGATAGTGATGAGCCCCTTGAGAAGGTGAATCAGAAAATAGGAGGAACTCCCAGGAACTGTTTGTCACTGTCTGTCAGCATCACCAAGGCTGCTAGCAATGCAAGGGCCGTCGGAGATTCTGAAGCTGCTCGAAGGCGTAGCATGAGGGCAGGGCAAACTTTCAGCGGATGGCAAGGACACGGGGAAGTTGTCGCTGAGAGGTGAATCTGCTGTATGGGCAAAGGACTTGACATGTTGGAAGAGTCAGCATATGTCAGCATGCAAACGGTTGGTAAACTCATTACTTCTGTGCTGGAGGACTGTCGCGTGAACTTGCGCAGTGAGTTGTCTGCACGTTTGAGCGCAGCTAGCACTGCCTGGCATTTAGTCAACAGTAATGGATAGTCCCTAGAGTTCCTAGAGATCAGACAATGTGATAGTGGCCAAGTCGTGACCAAGGACAGCAGTAGACAACCGCGCGGAGTGCTGCCAATGCAGCACTGTTTCACTTTTTTCGAAAGGCCAAAGGTTTTGCCTTGGAGCTCCCAACCCTTGAGATGGACCAGAGATCTTTTCATTCGAAACAGATCTTGTTTCAGTGGACATCTCTGTAGGATGTAGGATTTTCGGGGATGGCAGAGAATACAGCTGTCAGGCGCATCAAAGATTCCACAGAAGTGTCTTTCACGGATAGGTTGGACATGGCACGATCCTCCCTGCAGCTGTAGACCTGATCGAACCACGATTCCTTGGACGGTAGCTGAAGAAGCACAGTCCGCAGATTTTTTTTTTGCGGCGCCCAAAAAGTTTGTCTTTTGCCACTGTTCGGATGATCTAGCCATTTTTTCGAAGGGAACCGATGTAATTTCATATTCTATTCTGGCCATGTCACATCCATCCCTTGAAAGCCACATGGTGCATCCTCCAACCATTGGCTGCAGCTATTTGCCTCACTTGCCTCTCTTTGGGGCACAGCATGGACTTTGAAAAACTGAAGTATCGGAAGGGTCGATTGGTTCAAGATACGTAGGCTAAGAACTTCCGCGACAACTTTGGCACAATCAGCAGACGTCAGCTTTCTAGGCAAGGTAAATGCCTCTTCTTAGAGCCCAGTTCAGGATGCGGCATGTATAGCCGGAACCTCATTTATTTGGGATTCAATGTCTGGAAATGGTTGATGATGCTTCCTTTGATCTGCTTCCAACCGATGTGGTAATATGTGTAGTATAAACAATGTATGAATATGTATCTGAGCCGTATCTGTATGAATATGTATAAAGCAGAGATTCGGTGTGCATCTCATCATGACTCAAACCATGAATACACTGAAGACATGATACGTACTCCCCAGGAAGGTTCCACAAGTTTGGTGGTGCATGGTGAGAGTCGCTGCGCTAAGGAGTCTTTTTACTGCTCTTGGTGGCCTCCAAGGTTGAGCCCCCAGGATCTTTTCTCAGAGAACACCCAGGTGGTAGAAGGGATACCGTCACCAAAATGTCCGGCTTGACCCCTGCTTCTGAAGAGGAAACTATGCTAAGCCAAAACCCTAAGCCAAAACCCTAAACAACCCTAATCCAACCCTAAACCAACTCTAAATAAACCCTAAATAAACCCGAGATTAATCCTAACCACCAAACCCAAATGGACCATAAACCAATCCAAATAAATGCAAAAATAAGCCGAATGAAGGGGGAAGTAGTTAATAATGACTTTGAACGGTGACAAATGTTTAGTTTCAAGTGTAGTTGCTAAAGCGAAATGATGTTTTGGTTACTGAGCCGTAGTTGCTCCGTAGTTTCTGAAATCAAAGTATTTTGGTTGCTATACCGTTGCTTTTGAGCCGTGGTTGCCGAAGCCTGGTATAATCGAATATGCCCCCACACAAAAAAAATATATTGTGGAAATTTACTTATATGTAGGGTACAATATCTTTTTAAGATTGTATGCATATAAACAATATTACATAGAAAAGTACAATCACGTTCCGGACTGTTCGATTCAGTCATGTCAGCAATCACGAAATGGATGTCAGTAACTTTTCGGCTTCGAGTTTTTTTTGGATACTGGCCAAACCAGCTTTGGGGTTAACTAAAGTGGTGTTTCGTTTTTCTCAACATGTGGCCTGGCTATTGGACCCTTTGAGCTGCAGGCGCAGGATGATGACTTCATGTGGTTTCGATGCGATGCTTGCTCTGCCTTAAGCTCAATGCCAACCTAATAGTTCGTGAGGGATCCTGAAGAACAAGAGTCTCAAAACATTCAGATCAAAAGAATGTGATCTTGTTGGCTTGTGAACTTTCTTTCCTAGTCACTAGTGGCAGGTGTTCTGTTTGATGTCCCCGATTTTGGATTTATAGCTGAAGAATGCAGCTGAGGCCTCATTCTTCAAGATCAACAGGACCTGAGAGAGGGCATCCCTTCCAGCTGATTTCCCTTTGCCTCATGTACAATGGATTGGTTACTTAAGGTTGATTGCAAAGGGTCTTGGGCACCCAGCCAGAATCACTTTGGGGGAAGGTGATGGAGAAATTGAACGCGGAGTGCAAATTGTGAAGGCAAATGCAAATACATGCATGACATATCATAACATGATCCGTTGCTCAAGGAATACTTGCAGAGTATACACAGCAACACCTCGTGTCGCCAACAAACACATTGAAGACATAAGAGGACCATCGTCATTGTCTTTATCCGTGAAACCTAGTGACACCTAGACATATCGCCGATCTTCAGATGGGATTTCGGCAGTGGAGGACACTGATTGAGAAACAGCTGTTGCGCCGGGCCAGTGTCGCCAGCTACGAGTTCTTGGCATCTCGGCCCCAGACGTTCTGCTTGGGATATGTTGTTTTGGGTGAGCACTGAGCACAAAGGTCGACACAAGGCAATCAACTTGATTACTTTGATTCTTTCTCAAACCTGGCAGCGTTGCAGTAGAACCATGCTGATCAGACAAGATAGAGATGAAACTGAGGAGATCATTGATGAGGCTCGATTCTGTGGGTTCCTTGATGCACGACCGATTGGGATGGTTTCAAAGTTCATACGCCTTGTTCAGCACTGCTTGAGGGTGATCATGGGATGCCAGCCGTCAAATACCACAAGGGTTGGATGCTCTAAACAGCAAGGAATACATTCTTGTTTTTTGACATACTCATCTCATCTCAGCAAGACGGGTAAAGTAGCACTTCGCTTTATTTTAACGTCCAAGCGGGCGCTTTCCGACATCTTTCGCAGGTGTGCGACACGATTTTCACCAAGGAGGAGTTGCTCGACTTATCGTGGAGAGTCCTGTGGATGTAGGTTTCAAGTGCCAACAGTCGCTTTCGTAGATGTGTCCAATGCAGATGTGTCTTGCAGGCTGTTCTTACTCTTGCAAATTTGATGAATGGTGTTTTTTCAAAATCCGATCAACAAACCATTTCACAGTCTCTGAGGTATGGCGTCAAGCAGCACGAGGTCTTTCGGCACAAGACATAGGAAATTTGCGGAACCGGACCCCGCCTGCATCAAATCAGTTGCAAGCAATCTGAATCTTCCTGTAGTCTTCCTTCAAAGGCTTTCAAAGGGGTAGGCAAGTAGATTGATGTCAGCTTGCATCTGCCAACCTCGATTCAATTTCTCTAAACTCCAAAAGACTTACTTCTTGGGAGGTTTGTTTGTCCATCCAGCAACTTGTCAGGGGAAGAAGTATCTCTTCGGCCCTGGGGTCAGCGACCACATCCCTGGACAGGGCTTTGGTCAAATGGGCATGGGAGCTGGGCCCCTAGAATGCATCTGAAACATGCTCCCAGCCTGGAAAGTTTTGGGGCTGGTGGCTGATTTTGCCACTCTTTTAATGCCAGGTGTACTAAATTCAATTGCAAAGAAAGCCCTAGAAAACTTGCCTCCATTCCATGCCCAAAGAGTGAGAATGCAGTGAATGAACCCGAACAAGCGAACGAACAAATGATGAGGGAAATAGAAGAGAACTCGCTGATGTGAGAACAAACGTGTCATGTGATGCTGCTGCGAACACCGCAGCATCACTTCCCACCACGAAGTCAGGTGAATATATACTTTTCTACCAATATATATATAGTGTTTCGATTCGATGATGTTTTGACACGCTGTAGGATGTTGTATGCACTGGAGTTTTCTCGAACTCGACAAAGAAGAAAGACCAGAGGGTTGGTGCAACAACACCGACCTGTGTGCATCCCAAGGACTATGACAAGCGGCTGGCCTCCTACTGCAAGATGTTTGTGGAGGAGTTTGGCGAGGACTGGCCAGTGAGGGCACGGGTTGCAATTGAAATTTGGATCTTTAACAGTACTGGACCATCTTTGATAGTCTTTGCTCATTTGATGTCTCAAGGAGTCTCAAGGCATGAACTTTCCGGCATTTTCTGTCAACATTCAGCTACATTCAGTTCATTTCAGTCGCCGTTGCAATACAGGAGGAGCTGCAAAAACGTTTCTGGGACGACAGGTGCGCGGCCTGAGAAGAAACACTAATGCTTTCGAATCATTTTCCACGCATTTGCATAGGCTTTCAGGTTTTACACATTTTCGGATATTTTCAGATTGCAGGTTTGTGATGGTTTGTGTTTCTACTACTGGCATCGGTGTTGCTGGTCTTCATGATCATGCTTGCTGGGCTGGGTTTCCTGAGAAGATCTGGCTCAGGCAAGTGAACCACACAGAGATTTGCCAAGCTGAATGTCAATCCTCTGCAAGTGGCACAGGAGCCTGCAGCTCAGCATGGAAAGTGATAAAAGTGACCAAAGTGACCCATTGTTTTGAGCTGTCCCAAGATATTCAGCTCTGCCGAGGCGCAGTCCAAGACGCCAAGAAAGCCCAAAGCTTCACGATCTCCAAGGAATAGCGGCACTGACGGCAGTGAGCAAAGTGGGATTGTCCAAAAATCGGGGATAAAAGTGCCAATTGAACGAGAAAATATGATAAAGATATATGAATTATATAAACATGATAAACCATTGTATTACTGGGTTCCCCATTTTGGACAAAGCCAAATCTTTTAATCTCTTTTGGGCGACAGCTTCATATTTATTCTCCTGGAAGTCAGGCATATGGTGCCAGGCAGTGAATTTGCCACAGACCACCTGCTCCCTGGATCCTCAGGAGCCCGTCAGAGGAGAAGGCCAAGCTGCCAATGGATAAAGCTTTAATTTAATTAAAACTTTTTGTCTTGGCAAAGTCCTAGAGTTTGAAACAAGAAGGATTCAGAACGGTTCAGACATGTTCAGAAAGTAGATCAGACATGAGTAGACTGAGTGCTTCTCTTTGACAAAGCTGCGCCTGCAATGCCTGCGACCATCCTTCCCAGTTGTCAGGTGCAAAAAGAGTCGGCCAAAGCAAAGCCGATGCCCACAACCAAACCGGCGAAGCTCCCCAAAGCTACAGGACAGAGACGATTGAAACACCACGGCGATCTGTGGATGGACATTGTTTGATTCAATGATTTTCCGTGATGAACCACTCCTTTGTTTGATTCTGTTTGATTGAGAGTGGGAGTGGTTGGTTTTGCTCCAGGAGAACCGGTCTCGACGGCTGAAGCAGAGGTCAAGGTGGACGAGGCTGGACAGAATCGAACGACTGCCGTAACTGCCGTTGCAGAACCTGATCCATCTCCAAGGTGCTCAAAACTTTGCCAAAGATGAAGACCAAAGAACTTCGAAAGCTGGGGGAGGCTACAGCGGCTCAAAATGATGAATCACACACCGAAATTGGATGGTAAAAGTCAGTTGAACCAATAACAAAATCTAAGAATCATCTAACATTGACCGATTTTGGGGGTTCATTTAGAGTCCATTGGTCGTCCTTATGCCATCCTTTTTGTCCGCAGCGCTCGCCAAAGCGTCAGGCCATCCTTGGCGAGCTGTCGTCTCGAGCTGCGCTGCCTGTGCGAACGGAGTTGTGAGGGGTGAGACCAGGCTGGGCCGCTGGAAGCGAACATGGATATTTGAACATTTTATGATCAAATGATATTTTATAATCAAAATATATATATATATGTATGTATGTATGTAATGAATGTAATGTAATGTAATGTAATGTAATGTAATGTAATGTATGTATCTATCTATCTATCTATCTATCTATGTATCTATGTATCTATGTATCTATGTATCTATGTATCTATGTATGTATCTATTAATGTAATGTAATGTAATGTAATGTAATGTAATGTAATGTATGTATGTATGTAATGTAATGTAATGTAATGTAATGTAATGTAATGTAATGTAATGTAATGTAATGTAATGTAATGTAATGCATGCATGCATGCATGCATGCATGTGTGTATGTATGTATGTATGTATGTATGTATGTATGTATGTATGTATGTATGTATGTATGTATGTATGTATGTATGTATGTATGTATGTATGTATGTATGTATGTATGTATGTATGTATGTATGTATGTTGTATGTATGTATGTATGTATGTATGTATGTATGTATGTATGTATGTATGTATGTATGTATGTATGTATGTATGTATGTATGTATGTATGTATGTATGTATGTATGTATGTATGTATGTATGTATGTATGTATGTATGTAGTGTGTATGTATGTATGTATGTATGTATGTATGTATGTATGTATGTATGTATGTATGTATGTATGTATGTATGTATGTATGTATGTATGTATGTATGTATGTACTGTATGTATGTACTGTATGTATGTACTGTATGTATGTACTGTATGTATGTACTGTATGTATGTATGTATGTACTGTATGTACTGTATGTCTGTAATGTATGTATGTATGTAATGTAATGTAATGTAATGGAATGGAATGGAATGGAATGTATGTATGTATAGATAATTTGATTACATTTGTGGGTCAAGTCCCACTAAACATCTGTGAACTGTAGATTATGATTGTATAAATGACAATGTATTCCAATTCGACTATACTAGGTCTGTCTTTGTGGCACCTCTTGACTTGACTGATGGAAGCTGGTACACTTTTTCGCAAACAACGCTGAGCCTGATAGTTTTTCAGGTGCAAGACCAAGAATCTCTGAATCTTCAAGGAGCTCAAAAAAATCAAAAGCGTTTCCCTCATTGTCAATGGAGCCTGCTCGAAGATGCTCGTGCATGGCAGGGGGGACGCAAGTTACGGTGCCCAAAACGGGCGGACGTGACCAGCAACTGACGTGGTGGACGTGCCTCAGAAGTTCTGGAAATTTCCACAGAGCTTCTGAGAAACCAGCGTTTTAGTCGCCTGAAAAGCACTGAAAATGAAATAGTCATATAGTTTGCAGCCAGAACAGCCTGTGTGAAATAAGGCTGCTTCAATTGGCCTTCAAGTTTCTCTTTGTCGCGCAAAGAGACTACAATACTCCTAGCACGTAAGACCCATCAACATGCGGATATATACATATTGTGTCATATATACAGATAGTTACATATTTCTATGAATGGTAAGGTGTGTATATATATATATATATGTTAATTCACATATACCCATGTATCTATAACAATCATGATGTCATACGGATTTACCTGTAAAAATAGTATCACCATCGTTTCTATTGTCCATGGACCTCCATTTGGCTCAGAAACGTTAGGGTTTGGGGTCCGAGCCTTACCTAGTGGGGCTTGTGACATCAATGGTGTATGCCCGCGAGGACTGGAGGTTCATCTTCTGCACCGAATCTTCAAAATATTTCTGCATTTTTGCGCCATGTTTTGTTTTCTTTTTGGATCTTAGAACATATTAGAAACTGTATTTTTCATTGGTTAGTGATTTTATGTATACTGCCTCCTTCGTTGTGGTGGTGTGGTGAGGTGCAAAGGTGGTGGGTTAGTAGATTCAGAACCTCTCCAGGACGTCGAGAACGTGTTGGCTGCGCGAGGATGGAGGGAAGTGAAACAGATAGGCAGGACACAGCCCGGGGCGTTGTTGGTGTGCAACAGGTATGCCAATGTAACATGGAACAGATACAGGGGGTCTTGATGAGTAAAGACCTTGTCCTGATGTCGTAACCTGTACTACTGAGAGAGTCAGTTTAGTCCAGCACTTCCTGTCGACCAACCTGAGTCCGCCTTTGCTGCAACCTTCATCGATGCTCAGGGGAAGGCTCCTTCGCGAAGGCTCTGCTCGTAGAGGCGTCTGATGGCACTCAAGCTGTTTGCAAGGCGCTTACAGGGTGGGGAACAGCTGGGGCAAGTGGGATTCGTGGCTTGACAACCCGAGGATACACACCAGCAATGCGTTTCCACGATAGATTGGACAGAGAAACTTCTTCCCTCTTTAAGCTGGCATTGTCTCCTGACAGGTCATGGACATTAGCGAAGCATCCAAAAAAGAGGCTGGTTTGAACAGCATTGGGAATGCCTGTCTCAGGTTTGATGAAGTTCGCGAGGGGTGAAGCTATTGTGGTTTTGAGTATCCGCTAATTCTCCAACATCTGTAGTTGTCCCTCATGTTGTGTTGCATGGACCCCCGGACCTCCAAATCTTATGTTTCCCTTCCAATTAGATAACTAGTGAGTGACTTTGCAGGCGGAAGATGCAGCAAAGGACAGACGATGACGGATGTCAGAGGGGATTCCCTTAACTGTCGCTGCTCATATATTTTGTTCGTATATCCCTACAGGACAGTTGTGACAGTTGGTTTACCACCTTGTTTGTTGATGATATTCCATGATATTCTCACATATTCTCATCTGCTTCTCTCTTTTTGCGGGATCCTTGATGATTTTCCGGCGGGATCCTGGCACAGGAGGGCAGACTGCTCGCATCGCTGCAACATCCCTTCGTGGTGCGATACCGTGACAGCTTTTGTGAGGCGTGCTGAGCTGTGGCCACAGAGTTGCTGCGGGAGAAGCTTAGCGGCTTAGCTAGTCACAGCTCAGCCTTCCATTCGCGGCCAGGCTGGTGTGCTGTGTTTGATCATGGACTTTTGTGAAGGCCGGGGAGAAATGCAACAGGTCACTAAGTCTTTCATGGTCTTTCATGTTCTTTCACCTCTTCGTGCCATGGTCAAATATGGATCCTTGTCCCATGCAGATGGTCATCCCCCAATGGGGGTTAATACGGTTAATATAGCCATTACATGGAATCCCTATGGTGGGATGACCATATCTCACGCAGCCATATTCCAAGAAAATTCCAACAGACCTACAGAGCATACCTGTTGCCACTTGCAGATTGGTCATGAACGGATTCCTTTCATTCGGCAGGTTAGAGGGACTTGGGGAGAGGTGTGTTCACTGTGTTCACATCATTTTAGATGTATAAGCTGTATAATCGCGGTGATTCGACAAGACTTCTGGAAGTCCAGGCGGTGAGCTTGCCAAGCAGATCCGCCGAGCGAGGCGAAACCATCAGAGGTGCGCCTTTTTCGTTATCTGTATGGTTGATTTCATGGCTTGGAAGCTAAGAATTTTGAATGATACTATATGATGCACAGTTTTTCATTGGTTACTTTGGAGATGAATTGTTTGGAAACCCATCCAGTGATCCAAATCACTTTAAGTGCAGACTTTGGACTTGGAGACAGTGACTCTGCCTGGTGCCATGTGGTGTGCCAGGATCCCGGAAGAGCAGATACTCCGGTGGTTTACGCAGGTGGCCGTGAATCCTCGAGAGAGTTCCACTTATGGGGCTCAAGAAATTGGTCAATATCGATCTTTGGGTGCTTAATGTATTTAATGTGCACGGATCAAGAAATTGGATTCCAATTCGAAAGATGTACTCGTACTGACGTCGTACTGACATACCGAGCATATCCGAGCATTCTTTTTGTGGTGGTGGACTCTCAATCCCAACGTGCGAAAATGAAGAACACAGCCCTGTATTTCATGCTTCTGGAAGTTCTCAGAGCTTCGGCAGGCGATGCTATCGCTCAAGTACATCCATGACAAGCACATCCTTCACAGGGTCAGGGCCCGCAAGCTTCTGCAAGCTCCTTGAGCTGAAGTTTTTTCTTGTAACTATTTGACAGAAGAAACATATTGAAGTGATGACAAAAGCTGCTCGTTTGATAACTGCCCACTGCTCAAATTGACTCAAAGTACTATCAATAAATCAATAGTGATTCTTGCCTTCCTCTTGTGCCCGAACACTCAAAAATTTCAGGGAAGTCATGGGACCAGAGGAATTTTCATGGAATTTAAATGCTGATCAAACGTAGGCATTCTATTTGCTATGCACATCTATGCAGTCTATGCACCTAAAAAAAACACTCCCTACATCTCCCTACTGCATTGACGTGGCAGGATCTGAAACCAGCCAATTTCTTCCTGACAAAGACTGGGCGCGGCAGCCAAGTCAATGCCAATCGTTCTGCATTTGCCTCATCCCTTTGCCAAGTCTGGTCTTTGGTCTCTGCCATCACCTAGCAGACTTGGGTTTTGTATGAGCTATGAACCGTTTTGGATAACCATGGTCGCCTTGCCTCTTCCAATGGTGAGATATGGTGAGATATCCTATCATTTTTTTGCAAATTTCATTGCTAGTCTTCCAGATGCCCCGCTTCCAGGTCTTTGAAGATGGGAGACTTCGGTATTGCAAAATCCATGGCAGGGCAGCCTACTGTGCCTTATGCATGTTATGCTGCAAACATCGCACTACGATGCATTGCGTAGATGAATTCACACTCTGCAGTTTTCCTGCTTTATTGAGGCTTGCACAATAGCATTTGCCAAGACCCGGATTGGCCGCCTCCTTGGGTGGAAGAGAGTGCGGAAGAGAGTGCTGGTTAGGGGTGGCTGTTGTCTGAAATCAGCTTGAATCAGCCCAGACCCATGACACTTTACAAAAGATGAATCTTTGGTGTTGCTTTGATGCTTATGTTTTCTCAACAGCCTCATTCCCAGGGCGCAAACGAGTAATTGAGTAGTTTGACTCTGCGCCAAGCAGACCTTTGCGCTAAGGTACTCCATACTACCTTAGCCCGGAAGTTTGTCAGGCAAGCCGGGACGATTCCTCTGAGCTCAGGTTATCACGAGTTGTGAGCTGTTTGATACATTGTAGGAACCGAGGTTTTGAGGAGATTCAGGATCAATATATTCAATGTACTGAAGCGTATGCAAACTGAGAATGACTCTACCTCTGCTTGGTGTCAGGAAAAACCGTATGCTTGGCCGTCGGACATGTGGTCGATGGGTTGGGCTCTCAATGGAGGAAGAGACTGCCGCTGCCACTGCCTGTATCCTTTCCTTCAGTACTTCAGTACTTCTCACTTGTTTGTATACAGTATAGTCACTGTATAGTCAGTATAGTGTACAGCGTACCTATGCGTACATGGACATACTTTTTGGCTCCTTTGTATATACTTCAGAATAGTTTTGCTTATTCAGCAGCGAAAAGGTTGCATTCTTTATGAGATGTGCGCATTGCTGGCTACTCAGATTCTGTGAAACGGCACAGCTTCTGGAGATCATCAGAGAAGCAAAACTTGGATATTGAAAAACTTGGATCATCAGATTTTATTGGAAGCATTTATTTTGCTGATTTCATTTCACGCAAAAGCATTCAAGGTGGTTGTTGTCTGAGTTGTGCAAACATTTCACTGTATCTTCATACTAGAAGCGATGTGCCCAAGGCAAGTTCCATTTGATGCTCATAGCATTTCGGGCCTTGTGCAGAAGATCTGCTATGGTCCTTTGCCAATTGCCGCAGCCTCAGCTGACTACTCCTTGAACTGTGAACTGAAAACTCATTGAGTCATTGTTCTAGAAACTATCCCTGACGTGCGCAGGTTCCAGACTCTTATTCGGACTTCTTACGACGGCCACTTGGATGCCGGTAGCAACAGCTTGGATCATTTTGGTACAAGTCCGAACTTTTGAGCAGCCCTTTCGAGCAGCGGGTTGCGAGAAGCATATTTTTGTGCTGGAGGGCTGGTATCAGCAGTTGACATCCCATGTTTGTTTGTTTGTTCGTTCGTTCGTTTGTTTGTTTACATATACATATTTCACATATTCTAGGCCGTCTTATTGATTACATATCCCCATGCCTTATATATATATATAGATAGAATTATATAGATATATACATACATTAATTCTCCAAACATGTTGGTTCAACAGCTGGTTCCCGCGGTCCCAAGTTTGTAACTGTTTTTCATGTATACTACTGTACATATACCCTAATTCATCCATACTATACTGTGCTTATGGCTCAAGAAACAAGCGTGCACTTGCTGTAGTCTTTAGGCTGTTTCGCCTGTCAAACAGGTTATCAGCCGTAAGCTAATTCTTCCTTGTAGGAATGTCTGCCCCCTCGGGTTCTTCCACCGAGGGCACCGGGCGTGTAGATACCTCTGACGCAGCCATGGCTAACCCGGGGACATTACCTATCAGCAACTCACCTTTCTCATATGACATCAGCACCCCACCAAGCTCCGACAAATCCAGAAGCTTAAGGGATCGACGCCACCTTCCACATTTGAGTAACGCAGTTGTGCCTTCTCATGTGGGATTCAGTCACCGTGGTTTTGTCCCCCAAGCCGCTCGGGAGGGTGGGCCACCGACTCGCCAATTGAACCAGATGAATGTCCATAATACGTTTCAACACAATGTTCATGTTGACAATCCTCAAGTGAATTTTGTCGAGCAGAATTTGCACCTTCATGCACATGATCCTGCTATGACAAGCCTTGTGGAAACAACGGCCGAACTCCGTCATCGTGAAGTATTGGCCCAGGCCGAAGCCCACGCTGAGGCCGTCCACACGGCAAAAACTGAGGAATTGGTGGAAGCATTACGAGTCCGTGAGGGCATTGAAAGTCAGAGGGCCCTAGATGCAATGATGTCCAAAGAACAAGAAGTATTGAGAATGGGAGCACAGTATAGGGAGAACTTACTGCATGAGGCGCACGAACACGTAAGGTTCCGTGAAGCTCAGATGAATGAGAAAATTCAGGCATATCAGCGTGTCATTGATGCTAACCATCGACAATCACTATCAAGTAAGGAGCAAGAGATCCTTGAATTGAGAAGAGCAGCTGAGGAAGAGAGAAGGGTTCAGAATGAACGCATTACACAGCTTGAACACATGGTACAAGCCCAGATGCAACACAATCTGAAACTGCAAAGTATGCTCGATTCCCAATTTGCTCAGGTTCGTCCAAGTCCTATTGTCGAGACTGCCGCCATGACTATGACAGCCGGAACCCATACATCAACGGAGATTCCAAATTTCGAGTTTGTTCCGCCGACCCGAAAGGCTGCACCTGCAGCACCTCCAACCAATGTAGCCCGACCTCCAATTGCAAGAACGCCGATTAACTTTACTTCCCCTGGCACTGAAACTTATGAAAAGGATGGTATTGAGGTTATTTATCATGATCCATCATATCGAGTCCCAGTGCAAGTGAAGAAGGAGTCGGATGTTGCAAGGTCTTCCGCTGAGGAACGCCCTTCGGGAGGAGAGGCCAATAATCGACGCCGAGATAACCATCCCATGGATAGTGTCAATTCCCCTGCGCCGACCAATCAATATGCCCCGACCGAACTAGGCCCAGATGAGATGGAGTACTTCGAGCCGGGGGGCGATGATGCGCCTGATGGAAACGATCCAGGGGATGGAGGAGATGGCAACGGAGGGAACGGGGGAGGTGGACCACCATCACCACCTGATCCAATCGATAAACCTGAAGGGGATAAGAACCGTAAGGCACCCAGGAAAACTAGGGCCGGTCCCAATCCTCCTGACGGTGGGGATGACGGTGATGATGATCCCGATGATGATGATGATGATGAGAAGTTCAGGCGAAGGATGATCAAGTTTCTAGGTGGCTACATTGATCCAAGGCATGATGACAAACCCAAGGTCAAGGAAGCTGACACCATCAAGATCCCAGCATTCCCATTGGCAGAAACCTATCGCAATTGGAGAATTAAGACCAGAGAAGCAGTTGTAGCAGCATCAACCGATCCCGATAGTGCTTTCAAGTGGATTAGTGATTCTTGGAAAGAAGAACAGACCCTTGAAGCGCTCCGGAAGGTTGCGCCGTTTGCGACACTTGATGCAAAGTTACTTTCTGCGCTCACCAATATAATCACTGGTGACTTCGCCCGTAAGGTAGATACCTTCAAAGAGACTGAAGCCACCGCTGGACGGATTGTAAGAGGGAGACAAGTTTTGTTCATGTTGCATGACCACTTTAGTACCAACATCAAGCACGGAGCTACTTATGCCCTTCAAGATTTGTTCAGTGTCCAATTGCGTGGGGAGAATTTGAAGTCTTTCATTTCGAACTGGGATCAAGTGTTGGCTGGTATCGTCCAGACTCCTGATGAAAGTGTATTGGAGACACTCTTCTACAAACAAGTGAAGAATTGTAAGGCCATCCAACATGACATGAATGAGTATCATAGAGCTGATGAAGGAACCGAAAAACGGAACTACAGTTTCCTTGTTTCTGCCGTGCGACGCCACCTTGACCGTGAGAGGTTGGAGGCAAATCGTGATCGAGTTGCCAAAGGTCTTTCGGGTTCCGGTCGTCCCTCCGCTCCCGCAGTCGAGGGCAAGACAGGATTCATCCCCAAGGGGTATTGTGTGGCATGGAATAAGGGAGGCTGTAGCAAGGACAACTGTACTTACAAGCATGAAGTCCCCAAGCCACGTGATAGAAGTCGCAAACCCAGCAAAACCAGAGGTCGCTCAAATGAACGTTCTGGTTCTCCCAGACCAAAGGGGAAAGGTAAGAAGATTTGCAAGTTTTGGAAACAGGGACGTTGCGATAGAGGAGCTGATTGCAAATTCCTTCATGAGGGTTCAGTGGGAAAACCAAGACAAGCTACTCCTGCCCGTTCGGCCAGTAGCGAAAACAAAAATAAAAAGAAGAATCCCAAGAACCCGAAAAGGAAGGGATCCCGAAGCTCTAGCCGCTCTAAGAGCCCCAAGAGCCCGAAGTCCCCGAAGTCTAAAGGATCCGGGGCCAGTTCATCTAAGCCGTCTCCTGCCGCAGTTTGTCTTGTTGCATCCATGCTTGCATCCGTGTCTCAGGCATTTTGTATCCCTCAACCAAGAGTATTTTGTCCATCGATTCGTTTTGATGATTCACCGGACGTATCTCATGTTAAAGTCCGAGGGAACTTGAGGCCAATTGGAAACGCAGTCACCAAGGATAAGGTTACCTTTCCATGGGGACATCAGTTTGAAGTTGATCAACTTGCTGTGAATGATGCCGCTTTGACCGGTACCATGCTGGCAGGATCTGTTTCCAATTGTCTTCGGGGAATAGAATGCAAATGTGCCTATTTATGTGACACAGATTTTGGTTGCAATGAATGTATCCCAAAGGGAATCAAAGTCACCCCTGCGGAATGTAGAGAAGACGTGAAGGGAGCGATCAACCTCGAACTTGACTGGATTGCAGATACGGGGAGTGCTCAAGATCTTGTCAATGATAGCGAATTGCCAGATGACTATGGATACTACTCCAACAATCCCATTCGCATGATTACTGCCAATGGTGAAAGTTCGTCATCGAAACAAGGGAAAGTATTTGTTCCGAAGTTAGGCAAGACCATTGACCCATATCTTGTTCGAAGCTCACCTCCTGTCATTTCAGTCGGGATGAGATGCATTGATGATGGTTACGACTTCATATGGAGAGGCTCCAAAGGTGAACCTCCTTACATGGTCAAACCAAATGGGGAACGCATCGAGTTAGTTGTCAGAGATTACGTACCCTACTTTGCAAACAATTCAAAGACGATTTCCACTCCATCAACTCAGCCTAGACCAAGTATTGCCACCCCGGCATCAGATGAAGCTCAACAATCTCCGGAGCCCGATGGGGACATTGAAATCATTGGTGATGACCCCATGGGTGTTAATGTTGACTTACCGGAGCCCCAGCCCTTGGAGGCTGAGGAGGTTGATGTTCCTGATGCCGACCGGGAGGTTGAGCCGCCTGTGGAAGGATCCAAGGGTAGCAGTAGTAACGTCCATGATGATGGCGCTCACAAAAGGTCTCTAGGGGAGAAAGATTTGAAAGAAGAAGCTAAGTCTATTCGACATATGCTGACTCACATCCCTAAGAACCCTTTTTGTGACATATGCACCAGAGCTAAGATGTTCAAGCCACCCTCAAGAGCTGTAGGCGGATCAACCAAAGTTAAAGCTGAGAAATTTGGTGACCACATCACTGCTGATTTTATTGTCACCAGAGATGAAGATGAGTTGGGAATCGATGAAGAGAAAAGTGCACTCGTAGTGAAGGACATAGCAACAGGATTTATGTATGTCTACCCCAATGCCAGACGAACCACCAATGCTGCTATCTTGGCAATTAAACATTTTGTTGGACATGAAGATAAGATAGGAGTTTTCTACAGTGACAATGCACCCGAGTTGATCTCAGCAATGAAGATCCTTCAGTGCCGTCATGTCTTAAGTAGGGACTACATATCCAAGTCCAACGCCCAAGCCGAGAGAGCGGTTCGGTCAGTCCTTGAAGGCACTCATGTCAATCTGCTCCAGGCAGGTTTGAATCATTGGCACTGGCCACATGCTGCCCGACATTGGTGCTTCATGCAGAATGTCATTGCAACGGGGGGAGACAAATCACCATGGGAATTACGTTTTGGATCGAGATTTGACGGTCCCCTCATTCCTTTTGGTTGTCTTGTCGACTATTGGAATGGACCAAGAAAGAAGAACAAGGATGGACTCCGCTTCGACCCAACATCGAGCCCTGGTTTATTCCTTGGCTATGCCATTCACCCCGAATTCATGTGGAGAAAAGAATTCATGGTTGTACCTACAAAGGATCTTAT